TATATATATATATATATATATATATATATATATATATATATAGACAAAATATCCTCACAAGATTATGCATTTATGGTTATTCATATGTATCTTGATTTATTCTTAAGAGTTTTTAGATATTGTCCAAATCCCTAGTCATAATTTCTAATGATACTCTCTCGATCATGAACATATGTAGAGTTACATCTTACAAAAAATACCGTATTAGATCTCTTTTAGAGTTAAACTCTTATTTTACCTCTATATAAGAGCAATAAACATTCATCATAGGGATATAGAGTTAGAGTTTTATTTCATATATGCGCGCGCATACACACACACACATATATATAATTTTTCAATATATTTCTTGATCGACTAAGCAGCTTATTATTATCAAATTAAATGTTCTTCAAGAGATCTCCTATCATAGAGGTTGGATTTCATCACTAAAATACCCATTGTAAGCCAATGCTAACATATCCAATCGATGATATTAGGACAATAGTTCTTTTATTTATATCTTTATAAATACTATCGTGATATATTATATAGTCATCTCAAAATTTTCTCTCTCAATACGCACAAATGACCTCTCAGTAATATTTATCAATAAAATTAAATTCGAAAAGTTAATGGATATCATCATCATGATCTCCGATCTAAAACACATGGACTATAAATGATTAATATCATAAATGAATGTTAATTACCACGACATCTAATGGAGAAACAAGCCATTCGATAACTTTAGCTTGATTAAAAAAATAATGAGATTAAATAAAACCATGATCAAGAACATAAAGTACAAGGAAGATGAGGAAATGATAAATACTATCATTTATCAAAGTAGATGTACGCACACTATATGATTTTTGTAAATTTTTAATAATCAACTAATAAAACAAAACCAAGAGCAATCATAAGAGGAATAATGATAAATAATCAAATGATTCTTTAATCAAAATCCATGAAGATTTCGTCCTCAATTATTTTGTTTATAGCGTCCATTGGAAAAAGAAAATTGTCACAGGACAAGTTTTCCTCTTTTAACTTAACCAGAAATAAATAATTCTATTTATTTATTATCATTATTTAATATCTGTTTATACCAAATGTAAAAACTGAAAAGATTCAGATGAAACTGCAGAAGTTATTTTTAATAATCAAGATGAGATGTAAAAGAAAAACACATAAATTAAATTGGAATCATGATTGTTAGGGTAAAAACTCGACAATTAATCCATAAATTCATTAGCCTTTAGGTATAATCTCTTCTCTCGCAGATAATTTTGGTAGAAATGGCACATAATTATAATTATAGACTGTGAGAGAGAAGGAGCCTCTTCACCTGAGGCTCTGGCGAATGGCGGGAAGGACCAGGTCGTGGTGAGCGTCGCTGCACCAGAGCTTGGAGGTGATGAAGAGCTCGGCGCGAGAGCTGATGAGGCCGGCCTGCAAGGCCTCGGCGACAGCTTCCCCAAGAGCTTCCTCGGATAGGTAGAGCGTGGCGGTGTCGAAGTGGCGGTACCCGAGCTCGATGGCTTGGAGGATGGCGAGCTTCATCTTCGCGCGTTGGTCGGGCGTGAATGGTAAGACCCCCGTGCCCATGCCCAGCACGGGGATCGACCGGCGGTCGCTGCCGGACGAGGCCGGAGAGGAGCAGCTCAGCCCGACTTCCGGAATACTCATCAGCAACCTGTTCGAAGAAATATCGCACTGTAGATGTCGTATGCTGCCACGGTATAAACGGGTAAGTTGGATCTTTCCAGCGTTGGACTGTTATCCTCCTCTGTTGGGTGGTGTAGGATTTAAGTAAATAATATTTAAATTAAATTACAAAATAGGATTATATATATATATATATATATATATATATATATATTGTGGCAATCACATCATTAATTTGCCCACCTCCAGAAAATAATACTGCCTATGACTATTTATCTGATAGGTTGTATCACGAAGTCCAGTCATGAATTTAGCATCTCGCTTAAAGAATATATTTTCTGCTTGTAAAGATAAGGCAACATTGGAATCTATCCTTTTTCTAGAAACAAAAAAGTATTGGAATATGATTCTTTGTGCGCTTTCTATACATTAATTATGTCGTTCATATAATATAATTCAATTTATGCAATTAATAGGAATAAAAGGATGAAACTCACCTGCCTGCCGAGCCTACCTAAATTCTTTGCTTGAAAGCTGAAAACTTGTTGTAAAAAATTCAAATAAGAATTGTTGTTAATTATTAATAAATAACACAATGTTACTGAAAAGTTCATTGATCTCTCAGCAGTCGTGAAGTTACGTAAGTGCATTGATCCCACAAGTATTATTTTTTGGAGTTGGCAATTCAGTCCACATCAAACAACATACACCTACGACTCAGAAACTACCTGTAGTAGATTCATGCTTTTGACTGTCATGGGTATGATTAAAAAGACACAAGCATATGTTCAAATTTCAAGTATACAATAACAAGAATGAGAGCCTTTATTTTAAGTATGTCTTTAATTTTATTTCCATCTCTCTATACCTGAACCACAAATCACTAACACATGTAACAACACCCTGTATCCTTGGTCTCTAAAAGCTTACTGTAATGGTTCTATATATTTTGTTTTTTGGTTGAAGAAAAAGAGTATCTACATTCATTTCTAACCAATAGATGAAGCCTATCCAGAGCATAGACTGAATAGACTAGTCACCAAAATCCAAACAGTGCAAAGACTAATAGGATATAAGTAAATAACCTGCTGTTTGATTGATCTATCAATAGAAACTAAGAGAACATAAAAGGATGAAGAAGAAAAAGCAAAGGGCCTGCTAGCCAGAGATTAATAGCTCCCCACTAATAACTAATGTTGAGCAACTTGTAATTAGCATCGTCACGGAGAAAAACTAATTCGATAACCACAAGTTTAATAAGACTCTAGCAGTTAGGATTTAGGATGACGAAAATCACTGCAGAAACAAAACAAAGAAACTAAGGGGTGTAGGCAGCTACTTGAATCCCTGCTTGATGCTGAAAAATAATAATAAGCAAATAAAGACATTATTTAGCCCTTACTATATAATCATCTTTTGAACCCAAATCATACTTTAATAAACTCAACCTGAACCAAAACCTAACTGCATCTTCTATGCTCCGTCGAGTATGGTGTTAAAAATCATTAAATGGCCATGAATTGTTATATCCATGGTTTCTACAATTTGTTTGATGACAGTTTGACCTTTCTTCATTCCACCAACTCCAAATCATACCTTACAACCTCCTAGTAACTTTAGCAATCAGTCTTTGCCTTTCTATCTGCAAGTGTTAGCTCTACATTGTGAAAGAAAAATATATATATACTGATTTTCCAGCTAGCCCTGGTGAAAATAATGCACATCGATAACTACAACTATTATTAACTGACACAACTATAAAGACAAACCATTCGACTGGACCTCATACTGATGACATGTATAAACGAAAAACAAAGATTGGAGAAAGAAATTAGCAATGAGATGAAAGTTATGCCATAACTTGATTATGAGTATGAGCCAATAAGGACTCCTAAATCTGATGAATCTAAATGCCAAGGTAAAACGTTAGACAATTTATGCAGTTAACAATTAAAGACCAAATTACATAACAAATGCAATAGCCATTACAATCCTCATGATTAGGCTACACAGAACATGCATCCTACGGGCGTATAGCAAACATCCTATAACAACATGCCATAACATCCAAACAATAACTATATGGATTTTTTTCCATTTAACTCCAAATTTATTGACTTTCTGCTAGATTGTCAGTAAGCATCTAGCACACAGCAATTAATAGATTGTTCAAAACAAGAAACTGGATATGTACACAAAGAGACTTCAAATGAATATTACAGAAATTATTTATTAGAAGGTCAGCAAGTCCTTCCATGGCGATTATGCTCAGATTAACAAAAGAACAGTTGCGCTCAACAAGGAAAGCAATTTTCTAGAAAGGAACACACAAAGATGGGCAAAGAAACAGAGTTGCAATTGCAGTACTCATGCAGGATATGCACTAAGAAAATTTTTGGAATTTTCCTTCAATAACTATAGCTACAACCTAAAACCATTAATGAAAAACTCAAGAAATTTGTTAAAATTTTAGACAGTCAAATAGAGAAAGTGCAAATTTCAAAAAACGGATTGATGATCCATCTAAATTAGAGTATTTTCACCAAGAGGAGTACAACTTATGAATGGAAAATGAGAAAACATGTAAAAGTATCCACTAAACCTGGATGTCTCAGTATCGAGAACCACGTAAAAAGCTAAGAAAGACACACCAGAGCTATGAAGTTATCTGGAGAACTTCTGCAGCAGGTAATATAATCATATACAGGAAAAACAGAGCAAGTGCACAGCCTCAGTCCCTATATAAGTTGACAAACATTGTACATTTCTACCTGATTGTCACAAACTTGTTGGTGCCATGCTTGGCCCAGTAAGGCTTCAAGTCAATTGGGTCAGAAAGGTTATAACCTTTTGCAGCAAGGTTCGCCAATACCTTCTTGAAAGCACCCTGGCTCATCTTCCGCCCGGCAATTCGTGCCCCACGTCTCTTTGTGCTCATCGGAAGCGGGTGCATTGAAACGCCAGTCGTGCAGCAAGCAGACTGCCAGCCTCCAGCTCCCCACCGATAGCACTGATGGGGCATGCCCGTGCATGAGCATAATGGTGTAGGAATATTAGAAACGTCCAAGTCAATCCCATTGATGTTTAAAGCAGTGCTTTGCCTCAGATTCCTCCCTTGATGACCCATCCGACTACTACTCTCATCTTTCGAAACAGCAACCTTCTTCAATCTCTTAGGCTTTGAGGCCTTATGGGGGCGCGTCTGAGCCCGAGGCTGGGACCTTTTCTGCGGCACATCCTTTCTTAGCTCATCGTCCACTGCTGTGATCTTATCACCCTTGGGTGGTGGCAGTGGCGTTGATTGCATCATCGAGAACGAATGTGCACCGTGGGATACACCAGCATCGCCCATGGCCGAGGAACAGTTGTTCAACGGCAGCATGTGCAACATATTGTTTTCTCTAAGGTTGATCCACTCATTGCGCGTGATGTCCATTCGATCGGGCTGTTCAGGAATGAAACATTCACGGCGGTGGAACGCTCCGTTGGACAGGAAAGGCGGCTTTGGGGCGCCACACTCTGCTGCCATTGACGGCATGAGATGCCGTCCCGAATCGCCCTTCAAGGTCTGATCAAAGTAAGCCCAATTTCGCATCCCCATCCCGCCATCATCATCCATAAAGCCGAATCTACGTTGAAACTATCAAAAATATCGGGCAAACGCTACCAATAAAATCTCTCTTCCCGTATCCGTTCAACCCATCGACCACATTGCCATCTTCTGACCAAACCAATCACATCAAATCACGACAGGAGAACAGAAGCAAGGGAACAAAATATACCATAAAAAGCAGAGTCTTGAAGCAAACCCTGACTGCAACGCTGTAAAAACCTGAAGAAATTGAGCTTCAATCAAAAGCACACCAAATCAAACCCAAAAATTTCGGATTTCTCCTTGTTAAACAAAAGATCGCAACTTGTAGGGATCTTTGAAGCGGATGGATAAACAGTGACAACAAGAAACCAGTAAAAGCCGAAACAAAAAGGATCAGGAACAATAACAACAACGCTGGTGAGAAGGTGAGAGGTGGGAGGAAACGGATACTTTACCTTGGAGAGAACTCTCACTTTTTAGGGTTCATTGCTGAGCCCGTGGGATGATGGAGAGAGAGGAAAGAATCTACGGAGGAAGATGATGCCAACGTAGTACAATTCTAATAGAACATTTTGATGGTGCACCGATTCTATTTGGATTTTAGTAGGTAAAAGGTTACGCATTGAATGAGAAAAGAACAGAACAAGAACAACTACTACTCTGCCAACAGCTCTTCTATGCTTATCCATTTCATTTTTTTTATATTTTTATTTCGGTGAGTCGATTTATTTTTGGATAATTATTTTTTTTTAAAAGCCCCCACCTCGTGTGTATTTTTTTAATAGGGGTGCCTTATTTTTTCAAGGCCAAAATACCCTCAATAAATTTTGGCTTTGGTTGACTTTTTTTTTTTTTTTTTTGGGGGGTTTGAACCGATGTGATGGATTGAATAAACTAGATTTATTGAATTAGACCAATTCAATATAATAAAATATTTAATCTTTTTATTTTTAGAGCCTATATTATTTTTTTATTTTTATCTACGAATGCACCAACAGAGGAAGGTTGTTGTTGTAAGCCTTCTTATGCATGGTGGTTGATAATATTATCGTCATTATCTTTATTATCACCATCAACATGAGGTAGGGCTAACGCTCGGCTTAGACATCAGGCTAGGGTTCTTGGCAACAGGACATCAATGGTGGTGGTGTTGTCACTGTCAAGTTCTTGTCATTGAAGGATTATTAGAGAGGAGAGGAAGAGGGATCGTGGTCATCGTCGCTAATGGGACAAGCGATGGACAAAAGTATACAGACCTTCCTATTATTCGTTATTGCCATGATCGTCATTTAAGTATTGAGATTTATATAACTTCATTGATCAATGGTTCATTATCGTTTCGTTGTGTAGCTTTTTATAATCTCATTATAAAAAGAGGTTGAACTGATTAGCAGGATATTTTTATAATTAAAAAAAAGACGTCTTTAGTAAAAAATAAATATAGAGACGTCATCCGATAAAACCTCATTATTAATTTTTTTAAGATAAATTATCATTTATTTTTCTTTCTATCTTTAATAAATCATAACCAACTTCTTGTTACTGACACTTCGTATTCAAAGAAAATTAAAATTTTCAAAGCATGAAAAATTAAATTCTTTAGTTGTTATGAAATCTCAAATAGAGGAAGCATGAACGAACCATTTTGTCTTAGATCCCAATTTGATACTAAACAAGTCTGAACTGATTAAATACTTGTGCTAGAAATTTCTTGAATTGATTTGTTATTTTCATAAATGATATAATTCACAACTCTAAGTTGGACATTATCATAAGAGATACTGAGAAAAAAAATACTATTAAATTTATATTTTCAACTATTTCATATGTGACTAAGAATTGAACCAAAACAAAATATTTTTTAGTTAATCCAAACTTAACTTTGAAATTTCTTATATACTCTCTCTCATATAGATATAGATATAGAAGAACTCTTCTCGTAAACTTGTAAACCTAGAAACCCTCTCTAGATATGCTAGATGAAAAAAAATCCAAAACGTCTTCCTCTATCTCTTCCCTTCTTATCAAAACCATGAAATAAATACACCATAATTCACTAAATGAGGCATCATTCTACTTAATCTTTAATATAAATTTTAATCCTAACTCAAAATAAATTATAACATAATTAGAATTCTTTCAAATAACTCCGATCTAATTATAATTCTTAAGTACTTACGGATTCTAAAAAGAACTAACTAGGATGAAGGATAAAATGTTAGGTTAGCCTTGAGTTATAGGTAACTATTGACTATGATTGGCTTTGTAATATTCTTACTAGGGAATTTAGAGGGTTTATTTTTTTGTCATGGGAGGTGTTGGTGAACCTTTACGTCATGGATGATGTGTCAGTATAGCTCAGTCCAATCCCAGATGCGTAAGGTTGCCCATGCGGATGCTCGGATCACGTCGACGTCGGGTCGGGTTAAGTCCAAGCATCATCTCTCGAGCGCGGTTCTCCCTCGACGGTTTGTTGTTGCTTCGTTGCCAATTTCTACACAAAGGTCGAGTCGGGAGGGGGATTTTCCGACTCGACCCCTCCGAAATTCAAGTTAGTGTCGTGGAGTTAATGGGAGTTGAGTGTCTTTTCTTCGGAGAGCTAGCTTTTATACTTGCGAGGATGAGTTTATTGTACATGGTTAATTAATTGCTGTCGACTTCTCGGACGACTGACTTAAGCTTTTGTGCGAGCATCAACCGACCTGCACGGATCGGCGTCGTGCGGTGCCACCCCGAGCTTTCCGGGACGACTGTACCGTGATGATGTTGTTCATACGGAGAGGGTGACGAGCGACTGCCCACTACGTGTATGCTACACGCCACATCGAATTTAAAGTTCCATGTCTATATCGTCGTGTCTGCTTACTTCGATTCACGTGTCGGAACCACCTCACATTTTTGTATTGGGATAAACAATGATCGGGCTGTATTCGATTTAATTTAAGCTCATTCCTTTGGCAAAAAAAATGTTACCTGAAAGGATTAGATCATTTTTGTAATGTAAGTCTTACGGTTTAAGTTTGCGGTGAATCAAGTGTTGACTAGTAATATTACAAATTACTTTGTCTCTTACAAGACTTTAATCCTGTGGATATTATGTCTTCATAGGTACGAGAATATAGATTTAGACTGATTCGTTTCGGATGAGAACGGTGAACCCAAAAGATAATTTCTGATTCTCATTTTTTGTTAATTGATATGATCAATTTTCAACCAAATAATATTATTATAAAATTTGATTCAGTATATTTGTCGAAAAGACGTGATGAACCGACTGTGGAGTTCAATAATAATATTGCATACTGGTTGGTATTTAGTAGGTCGGCCACATGAATCTAAAACAAATCGACCTTCAATTGGCGGGTCCCGCATGAAGCTTAATTTTCTGTGGACCCCGCATGTGTCGTGCATGCGATTGGCCGGCATGTCGTTTCTTTTCCAACTATTTTTAATTTCCACCATTAAAAATAATAAAAATAAGATTTAAAATGAGCAAAGATCTCGTTGACAATATGTATATATATATATATATAAAATTGATTTCTCAGATGAAAGTGAAGAGACAATTGTGTAACCATTAAAATGATTCTTTTTCTTTAATATGACTCGGTATTATTTTTTATATATATATATTTTTAAGAGCAAAAAATAAAACGAGATTTAAGTTGAGAATCTTTCATATGCCAACGAGCATCATGGAATCATATCATCGTTATCTTATTATTTGATTCCACACGCAAAATGTCCCCCGTGAGGAACTCGAGACTCTCGCTCGGGTGCTTTAGGTGTCGCGCGAGGGCCCACGTGGGGTCGTACACTCGGCGAGATAGATACAAGGAGACGTCAAGGGGTGAGTCGTTTGTGGGGGACGGAACGGCCCCAAATAATAAAAAGGGGCCCCACAAGAAAGTTGGGTGGGACCCGTCGACCTACCGAAAAGTAGCCGTTACGGGGCGAAATCAAATCGTAAATACGCGTGCTCGACGGTAGAGACGGCGACTTCGTGCGTCACCAAAAGCAATTAGCCTCCCCCACACCGAAGCAAAGGAGAGGAGAAAAAGGAGAAAGCGAAGGGCACAAAGGAAGGGAAGAAATGGTTGGCATCTTCTCACGCTTCTCCGGTGGCTACATGGCCAAACCCAGTCATCATCCTTCCCTCCTCCAACTGGTAAACTTATCATTGCTTTCCCTTCTCGCTGTGTTGTTCCTTTCTTTTCTGTCTTTTGACTACATGATCGATCGATAAGGAAACAGCTCTTCGGATATGTAACTTTATCGGTTGATTGAATCTGGTGCCAAATGAAGTGTTAAATTGTTTGGAGCTGTAGGATAAGAAGTTGGCAGAGGTTAGTGAGGGTGAGGAGGAAGAAGGTAACGATGGAGCTTATGATACTCATGGTGAGATTGAGAGGAAGGGTGATGATGATGATGACGATCCGGAGGTGGAGGTTGACGGCGAGTTCAAACCGATAGAGCATCCGCTGGAGCCACCGGATGATGACCGGCCGGCGAAGTACCCCTTGCCTTTTGCTTCTGTGGTAAATGTAAGGCATGTTCTTGCATTTGCGATGCTCGTATACTTCCTATCTTAGCTTGCTACTATCATCTGTTTTCTGAAGCAACTTTGATGTCTACAAATTATTTCTTTTCTTGCCTATATAAGCTGGGTCAGGGAAGTTGATAGCATGCTGATAAGTAGGCAATCGAAGATCCAACGGGAATTGGGTTTTTTTTCTGGAAAAGAATTGATTTGGATTAGGTAAAGATCTTGATCGAGGATTTTGGATCATCATTTGTGTTGGTCAACGACATGTGAGTACTGATACCAAATCATCAACTCAGGAAAATTTTAAGCAAGAAAAGTATTGCTATTGATATGATTGCGATTATGTGGATTCGATGGGACCTAAGTGAATTCTTTTGGATTTCCTTTTCAATCGCTTGTAAGTTTTGTGGATTCAACCTACTTGGATAGGATAGTAGATTGTTCCTTCAATAATTTAGAGGGCTTTTTCCAATGGAAGGATGCTTAATGGATCATTCTCTTTAGGGAATGATCAACGCATTTGTGAATGCACACAGAAGGAAAGAACAAGAAGCAATAACAGAGGGAGAAGAATGGAAATATAAACTGTACTTTGGCACTCCTCTCCCCTTAATCATTGACATGGGTTAAATTAGTCCTATTTCGGATTCTCTTTGATCTCGCTTTCTTTCACAGATTTTGCCAACAAGATTTGATGTCTTGATCCAACAGTGTGATCAGAAAAGCGCACCAAGAATCACAAATGCAAGCGAAAGTGATCTTTGTCCTTCACAATTATGCTTGGTGTACATATAATATTTCAAAGATGGCTTTTTCATGACATAATCTAGATCAGATTCTGCAACAGCTCCAGAAATAATGATGTTGTAGAGGTTTTTCTGTTCACTTCAGCAAAAACATTGTTGATGCTCTGTGAAACAAGAAGCAAGGACTTTTTCCTTGAATGTATATAAGAGCTTCCGGTTTCAATTAGCTAAAAGTTCTCTTAGGTTTTATAAAGCTAGAAAAAACCCAATTTAGTTTCAGATCACTTTTTTGGTTCTTTTCCTGAATTCAATCTTGTTTAAATGCTCAGGCAGTGGCTACAATAGACATTAATAAAGTAGTATGTCTGCTTTTCTCATTAGTAGTTGCTCATAAGTTCTGTCAATATCATAATCATGATCATGTATTGCTCATTCTAACTTCACCATTTTTGTTTGTCTTAGTAAATTCATCACCTCTTTTAATTATTTCAAGGTTTCGTTCATCTCATTCAAATCCTCAAACTGTCACATTTGTACCTAAAATTTTCCTTAATTCATTGCATGCTGTGATTTTTCCTGCTGAATTTGATTGTCTGGCACTCTTCATGTTGCAAATGTGGGTTACAACAAATGCTTAGCTCAACTATAAATCCACTTCCTTGCAGCAATCTTGATGTTTGCAGAATGTTTAAAGTAGATGTGAATCACATTGATGATGAAAATTGACATTTAGAGGTAGAAGACTCTGCTACAATGGAAGCAGACACAAATAGCATCTCTAGTTCTTGACATTTTGCTCGTTTTTCCTCTTAACATTTGGACAACTTGTGGTATGTCAAGGATGAAGGTGAACTGAAGGAGTCATTCTCGGCAAGTTTACAGACGATAGCAGAGTCGTCGTCGTCGTCGTCGATAGGGAATGAAGAAAGAGTTGCTGAGCAAACTCGACCGCGAACTGATCGAAAGCGGCATCCCGTTCGAAATCATCCCCCCCCTCCCTCACCAAACTACAGCATATTTCAAGTCTTTCATCAGTGCAAACAGTTCGAAGCTTAACAAATAGCTTCCCTCACCACTGATCCGTTCAACATTATTTGAGTATCTCATGTACAGGCAAAACTATATTACTTGGAATGTCTTGTTTTTGTAAAAAGCTGCCTATATTCACAATCATTTGAAACCTAAAAAGAATGTATATTTCTCATCTCTTTTTTTTTTTTGGAGAAAGAAGAATCAAAGATTGTTTGTTTGTTTGCCTTTAATGTGGTGGCATAATATGATTTAAAAAAGTACTTTAATGTGGTGGCATAATATGATTTAAAAAAGCACTAAGCGTCAAAAGGTGCTGAGGTCCAAAAATGTCCGAGATGTTAGGCGCTCGCCCGAGCGAAACGATGCACTAAAATATAAAAATATATAATATAATAAATAAATATAATTATTTAAAATTTTAAATAAAAATAATATATTATTAATATATTAACAGTATTGAAAATTAATAATTTCAAATAAACCTAACAATATTAACAGTATACAGAAGGAAAAGAAAGAAGAGTGTAAGAGGGTGCTGACTGCTGACTGAGAAAAGAGGAAGCGACAACGACAGTGGGAGCCGGAGCGGGAGTGTAAGGAGGGAGCGACAGCGGGAGCAGGAATGTAAGGAGGCAGCGACGACGGGAGTGTAAGGAAGTAGCGACAATGAGAGTGTAAGAGGCAGCGGCAGCGACGAGCAGCAACAACGGGACCGGCAGCGGGAGCAGGTGCAGGAGTGACGAGTAGCGGGAGCGGCAGCGGCAGCGACGAGCAGCAACAACGGGAGCGACAGCGGGAGCAGGAGCAGGAGTGACGAGTAGCGGGAGCGGCGACAGCGCCAACGGTTGCGAGTGGCGAGCAGTGGGCGCGGGAGCGACAGCAGCAATGAGCAGGGCTAGGGTTGGGCAACGACAGTTGATATCGGTTTTAGCCAGTTCGATTAAACCAACTAACCACCGGAGATTGAACCAGACCTAAAATCCTAGTTCGGTCACCTGGTTTAACCCAAGCGCTCGCCCGAAGCACCCAATGCCTGGGCTCGAGCGAGCGCCCAGGCGACACCTCTTTGAAGCGCGCCGCCTGGAAGTTTAGCGAGGGGCTCGGGCCTTGCCTCGCCTCGCCCGAGCTTCTAGGCGAGCGCCCGAGCGCCTTTTTAAATCACTGATACATACATAAATAAAAAAAATTATGTATTTGTTATTTCAATGTTTAAAAATATATCCCTTCAAATATTAAAATCTTTGGCATTTATCCCTTCCATTAAAATTTATTCGCAATGCTTGAATTATTTAGTTTTAACTTTTATTAGCATTATTTAGTTTGTGTTTAGATAAATTTAAATTTGAATTCATATTTGAATCCGAACCATGGAGAGATGTTGACTCTAGTTTTGCCACTCTCATATCTCTTTTCTTCTTCTTCTTTTTTTCTCTCAAGAGACTATTATAAAATTAATTTATGCTTGAATTTATGTATGAAATTAAGATGATACATCCTATCAATTAGTATAAATATAAAAAAAATCCAATTATCACATAAATAAGATAAATAAGTACAGAAATAGGATACATAAATATGAAGTCTAAGAATATTTGAAAGGATATTGTTTGAAAAAACAATAAACTTTTATAAAAACTAAAATCCAGATAATATAAAAGATACTATATGGATAATAAATCCATACAAATATAAGAGTTTAAAATTAATATTTAAAATATATGGTTGATTACCAAAAAAATAGCCGATGTTTCTAAATTTTTCGGATCAAACAACTTATTTTCATATTGCTCATGGGGATCCTGAACATATTGTCCAAAAATTGCTTTAGCTTTTAACTACTAAATCAAAACATATAGTTAAAAAACATTATAAATGGATAATATTACTTATTTTTTAATTATCATTCTTCCAAATAAATGAATATAGATATAAAAAGGTTTCCAAAATATATCTAATATATAGACCTTCTTCATCAAATCCACAGAACTAGTTGAAGTGTAAAACCTTGTCCTAAACTTGTAGAGGAAATCAAGTTATAAATATATCCAAAGCTTTTACTAGGAGATAACAATTGCTGGGTTTTAAATAAATATAGGCTTCAGTAAGACCTATTTGTCGACCAACCGAGAAGGTGCAAGTTCATCAAGAAATTTGGTTGTTTTTAATCCTGAAGCCCATGAAACTACAGCACTACAAAATGCATAAAAGAATCTGAACAGCATCAGTTACTTTCACCATTTCCATATATAAATAATTTGGTAGAAAACATTGCATTATAACATCAAGTAAATGTACACAAGTTCTGTGCTACTTGGGGAAATATATGTGAAGTTTCTATTACATTAATGGGCTATGGAGTGTGGGACAAAATTTAGCCCAAGTAATAAGGAAATTCAACATCCAATTGAATTGGAAATGCATGTCTTTCATTCTTTTGGCAACAAATCTCATCCGGCACTAATTCTATAATAAGGCACCATTCATCCATCATCCTGCTGCTTTTCCTGCACAGATTTGCGAGGGTCCATCAGCTACATGTTCAGATACATTCAAATAGGCAACCAGCTGAGAGATCAAATCTTTGACACCATATTCTTGGTTAATCACATTTTCAGAAAATGTGGGAATAACCTCATTCTGAACAAAATATCTTGAAAATCCTAAGCAGATAAAAAGATCATCTTTGACAATCAGAAATGTTGCTATGTTGGAAGAGGAAAGAGTCTCACTGAACTTGTAGGCTGCTAACTAGGTTTCCAACTCATTGAATACCTAATGTCTTCATTAGGGTACCACAAAACCCAGAATTCCATGTGGAAGGAGCTTCAGATGAGCTCCCATCAAGTTGCTGCTCATGCCTTTGATGGTTTATCACCTTGCACAACAAAGGATATCCATGTCTTGGATGCCAACCTAGTGCAGTTTAACTGACACCATACTATGACAGCAGCATAATACTTGTATAGCCCAAAAATGCTTAAACCTACTTACCTATGTTATTTATTGTAAAACACCAAATTCAATTTAAAAGTTCAATTTTTTTGCAGTGAGATTTACAATGTACAAATATAGGAATATCGTTGGAATATATTGTTGCACAAGAAGATTTGTATAAGTAGATGTAAACTTAAATGAAATTAATAATACTACTTGCAAGAAATTTGGGACTAGAGATACCATCTATTATGAGAGTAGAGCATACCTCCAATTTCGCTTTGGCTTCAGAATCAAATGTCTTGCATAGAATCTCATAGCTTTTCTCAGCTCCAATCTGTTGTGTGAGGTTACAAGTAACTTTCATTGAATAAGAATTTAAAAGTACAAATAGTTTGTAGATTAAAAAATCATTATACCAGTGGATCCACTCGTGATGGTGAAATGGTTGAGATTGTATATCTGAAAAAGACATATTAATTAGCTTTCAGTCCATACCAATGGTGAAGAATAATAATATTTGATGCTTATGTTCTTACATCATATACACCTTATTACCAATGTCTAAACAGTAACTTACCTCAGCTTAGTTGTGTAGAAATTCATGGCTAGAACATTAGCTTTTTGTACTGTCAGCATCACAGCTCCCATGCGATTCTATAGATTTCATGGAATGCTACATTTAGGGCCAAGCAAATCAAGTAGCCATCAACCTTAAGATGGTAGGCATGCTCAAAATTAACTTTGATCGTGAACTATATGAAAAGAAGTAGGAGTATCATCATAATGAAGCATGAGATGATTATGAGAATAATCTTTTACAAATAAGTAATCTAAAAAAGATAACAATCAGTCTGAATCATCAGCATGAATAACAACCTATCATGCACATGTGTATCATTTTCACCAAACATACATTGTTACCTTATGAGCAATAAGTTCAATTAATTGCATCAGGAACTTTCCTAGTCCCTTCCTTTGTGCACAAGCCTCCAGCTGTAGCTCATATACATAAACAACAGGAATATCTTCCTCGACAATAAACCGGTAATGCACAAAACCAACCAGATGATTCTGATCACCTGTCTGACCAGTATAGAGTCTTTCCTCATTTTTGGCCAGGGGATTTTCATCAGACGCTGCATTTGTTGATTGTCGTACAAATATATATCGTGCTTCAGGTGAAACCATTTCCCTTCGTTTCACTTTCTCTTCCATTTGCCACTCTGAACCATATGGACCTTCCATATTGGCCTAGATAATTTCATTTATTACATGATACAGGTAACTGATACATTTTAAAATAGAAGTGGCAACAGTTCTTACCTTAAGAAGATTTTGAATGTATTTCTTAATAGGAGAGGGAAGTTGGTCTCCAATTCCTGATTCCAAGTAAACTGAAAGTCCTGATCATCAGTTCAAATGATCAGGATTGTATCACTAAGTGAAATATAGACATTCCAGAAATGGGATTATATCAACAAATAAAGAATCATATAGAACAGAAAGATGATATTAACAGAGGAAGAATCCCAAAGAAAATTAACAAAATCATGGATACACGAATCCAACTGTCAATGTAATTTAACAGATTGAAAAGATGGGTCTTTGGCCTTAGTAGTATAAAACAATGTCCAAATTGCAAATATCAAGGTGCTTAAAAGCTAAAACAGTATGAAAGAAAGTGTACCACTGTTGTCTTGACATGAAAATTCTAAACCCTCCTAACATTCTGGCTCCTATAAGCATACTATTATGTATATACATGTTTCTTTTTTCAAACTTTAGAAGTTCTCACTCCTGTTACCATTTCAAGCTTTAGAAGTTCTGACACCCATTTACCATTTCTTTCATAATGACAGAAGGGTGGAAAGGAAAGTAGATGGTCCTTGACAGATGATGCCTTCTTTATAATTTCATCGATTGCTTTTTTCTTCTCAAGTACCTGCAGAAACATGCTGTTGTCAGTTACCAACATTTAGATGTCTACATAAATTCCTCAAGCATATTATTTAAATGTCTCAGTTGACCAGAAAACATTAATCATATTGGTAAAAGTAATCAGCACACATAGATCTGATGAAATTTTAAATGTCCACTAAATGATTATACACATATGCATCGAGAGCATTATTCGTTTCATGTTTCAAATCAAATGTTAAGGAACTTTACCGAGTGATGTTGTAACCCACGTCTCTTCTAATCCATGGTTTTGTACACATTTGCTTACAATTTCAGAAACTAAATCATCAATTTATCATAAGCTTAATCAATCAAGAAACCTATCTCCTTGCATGTGTTAGTGAAGTCAAAACAATAAAACTCGTTAATCTAGGTGCAATTTCCCAATTGAAGGGATTTTACTAAAATATGCCTTCACCTGAGCAACGATTATCAAGATTGCAACTCGTTGTAGTATGTGACCATGACTATGTCCTGTTTTCAGATACAGATTGATCAGCATATTCAAATAATTCAAATTTTCTGTGCATCCATCCAGATGCCAATGAAACAGAGGTCCAGACTAAAATAAATTTATCGACCTCGTTAATTTCTAGTGCAACTAAACAGAGAGATCCTCTACCAATTTGGACTTTTCAATTTTACAATATACATAAACCACCAATAATTGACTACTCCTGAGCATTTACTATAACCTTAACTAAAATGATCTCCACCCCACCCTTCATAAGCCAGATTGATTAGTTTTTGCAAATAACCCATACCATGGCACCGTGGCTAATTTTTGAATGAGAGAATAGTCTCTTACCATACTAAATATGTTTTGCATTTACAAGAATTATTAAATCGGTTTTTCTTCTCTCCACACAGTTCACTTGCTAGTCATAATTTCCATTCTATTTGGAACCAACAGATCCTCCAACACATTGAACACCTTTTATTATTAATTTTTTTTACACCAACACTTCAATTTGAATCCAAGGAACTGATGACATGTACCAAAAGAACTTAATAGTTGCATTTGTTTAGATTAGGTTGGTCTCTTGCGAAAATCTTCAGCTACTGAGAAAGCATAAAAAATTGTCTAAGATCACTACCTAATTGTTGCCATCTCCAGTTGCGTGCAGTCCACCGCAACAGTGAGAATATCGAGAATGACTAAGGCCGTTAAACTAATGACCAGCCACCACCATCAAGACAAAAAACTCAAGACTTTGAGGTTGTTGTTTGCTGTGAGCAACAAGTCCAAACCCTTAGAGCCGGTGATACCAAGAACAACTCAAATCTATCATTTCCATAGAATCATTGTTTTCTTTTAACCAAAAAAAAAAGAATCTAAAATCAAACCTTTTGGGAGAAGAAAAGGATCAAAGCCAACACGAGCAACTACAAGCAAAAATAAAGGGAGGGAAAAACCTAAACAAGCAGAATAAGAAAAAGGAGCACATTTTCCTGTTCATTTGATCGAGGGCAATTAAGAGCCATGGAACCAAAAAGCTGCATAAAGATCCAATCATCCTAACACAAAGTCGCATGTAAGCCGAGACGACAAAGAGATCTTCCAACAAACATGACGAAGAAAAATAAGATGACAAAAGGAAAGAAAGGCACCTCCTTTCTTCTGATCCTCTTCTCTTTACTTGTGGAAAATCTCTTCGTCTCCATGGATTCCAGTCACCGGAGAAGGAGCACCACCACATCCGATCCTAGCATCCCATTACTTCTTCGGGAAGAACCCTCTCCCCCTGCATGCGTCTGTCGCTGTCCCCGCCACTTTCTTCCTTTCGGCGGTTCCCGAGAGGAATCCAGCGTAGGCGAGCGAATGGGAGAGGAGGGCAAGGACGGGGCGGCTGTGGAGGATACAAAGGAGACGGGTCCCACCGCCCCAACGGCGAATAGTCGCCGAGTATGAGAGGGATACTTGGAAAAGGCAAGAGGAACACCTGTGGGCCACTCTTCGGAGATTCCCATTTAGCCCAATCTCAGTCTAATCTGACCTAATCGGAACGAATGGTTCGGGATTGGATTGGGTTAGCCGAGTGGTGTAAATGGGCCAGACTTATAGGCCATAACTTTTGGGCTTATGTAAAGCCCATAAGGCCCATCATTAAATGCTCATGATCCTCGAAGGTCATATGTTATACTGCAACATCAGATTAAGAATTACAAATCCAAGAAAAAAAAGTACTGTCACATCCTAAATGTTGATTTAAAAGCCATAACATCTAAACTGATCAGATAAAATCATGGTCTTAACATACTTTATTCAGATTTGATAAAGGATCCATGGCAATTATTTGAGTGTATATTCTTCTTCTTAACTAGTTTATCTTCGTAGTGTCTCTCACATTTGAGATTATCATTCGTAGATTCTCAACCTTGATATTATTATGCATCATCTTACGCTAGATTTATATAATGAATAATGAAATTTCTTTTTTACCTTCTAGATGCTCTTACACTTGGAACCCTTAATGTGCCGCTAACACAATAATTTGTGAGAGGATCTTCATATAACTCTTTATTACTATTCAATTGTGTCGTTTAAAGTTAGTGTAATCTTCACCTTCTCTTCCCTAGTTTAGAATGCCTTTTTTTTTTCTTGAAGAACCTTCTAGTCATTGTAGAAGAATGATCATTGGATATTGAGCACTTTCCTTTTGAAATATGTCTCATGATAATAATTTTTCTCTTCGTATCCTTTTCTAGGTAAGTTTTGAATACTATTTCAATAGTCTTATCTATATACATTACGGAGTAAGGCTTTTTCACCATTGCAATTTCACTTATTAGATAGGGTAGCCTCTATTTTGGCACTAAGCCTAGCACTTTGTTTACATCATTATATCTTAAATCTTCTTCTCACTACCTTTATATGACACTTTTTGTATAACTTAAGATCTGAATGAGGTTTTCATTTAGATACTTCAAATAGTATATCTTTCTTTGCAATCAACCACTTCAAGACAAAATAATTTTCTTATAACAAACCTCATATAATTATGTTTTTTTTTCTCTTCACATACTATATATACTCTGAATATCTATATTTTTAAGCATTAAGGGACACATTCTAAAGGTGACAATCTAAAAGCTATGAACAAATTCAAGGATTTATATATATCTTTTCATGGTGATCATAATCAATACAATATTTAATTTTTGTATACATGTTTCACTCAAGAGCTGAATTCGTTGCTCAGATTCAACCATAAATTTGAGAGTGGACTTTCAAGTATTAGAAGACAATATGGATAATAATATTTTGTGTGCAACCGTTCAACCTTGACTACTTGTTTGATGCAAGCAATTAGGTTTTACCATTGATAATGCATGGACTACGTGGAGAAAGAGATGCCACAGTCATGAACAACTATGAGCGCCACCTTTGGGATTAATAGATTGGGCATGCAACTTGCAACTCCTTTTCTCCACTACACACTGAAAGCATGGACAGAGATGGGCTAAAGTGATTTCCTCCTTTTATAATCCGTGCGGTCAGGCAAAGTAGTTTCCACCGCAGTGTCATCTTCTTCCCTGGATTCCTTCGTGCTTCTGGTAGCCTATTGAGGTGGAGAAAGCTGACTAGTTGTAGATAAGCCAAGCCACACCTTGTGTCCCTGGATTCACTTTTGATTTCTTTGGCTTGTTTAGTTAGGTAGAACCACCACCAATAAATTCTGGTGCTTATCCTTGATCGAAAATTCTGTATCAGTACCTGGTTTTGATCTGTAGAGTGGTGGTATTCAAAAGGTTAGAATCCAACTAGAGAAGTTTAGAGAGTGATTCTACTGTTTATGATGTCGAAGGATCATAAACCATGTAGTAGTTCGAAGAATTACACAGCTTTTGAAGAAGATGACCCCAACAATGGTTGTTTCGCTTGCTGTTCTTTGCTCAACTGTGCATCCATTCTCTCAATAACAGGGAGTGAAAGCCTTCGTGCCAATATTATTGGAAGATGATCACAGCCACTACTTTTACGGTGCAAGATGGGCAGTGATAACGATGGCACAAAGCTCGCAACAAAAGAAGATCGACCATGATTGGTTTGATGTATTCCTCCGGTGGCATTCATGTCAAGATAATACAATGATAAGTTATTGGCAATAAGTGCACCAGGAGACAACTTGCACCTTCAGCAAATGCACGGCCTGAAATCATGCAAGAGAAATGTTCCCCACCTACCATTGTCTCTTATGGTGAAGGTCACCACCAATCAGAAGCAATCGGTTGACTTCTGTGCTGCAATCCATCAATTAATGTCGGTTGACATCGAAACAATGGGAGATCTTTAGATTGCATGCGTTCAAAGATCACTAGATGAACAAAGAGCATCGTCTCTTAGCAATGGTACGGAAATCTAAGCTTTTCAATCATGGATTTGAGATCAGATAAGCAAACTTGGTGTTCCATTTCCTACGCCATTTTGCTATAGCAAATCAGTGGCAAGAAGAAGCCATCAAATTTGCAGGGCGTCGACTTCGGTAGTGAAGATTGATCGCACCGGTCGGTGGTCCGAAAACTTCACCTCGCATCGGTCGTACCGCTTTTGCTTCAATCCTTCACCAAGCCATAGTATTCGATCGCACCTGCAAAACCAGTAGATTTCATGCCTTCTGCATCAGTGGAGAAAATTCTCTTCTTCCTCTCTCCTGTAGAGGTGGATTCAGGATTCAACTAACCATGCAGGAGCACGTCTTCGTTCTCCATTTCTACCATGAACGTGCCAGCAATACTCATCGGAGTTTGGAAGATACTTGTACGTGGGAGAGAACGTGATCACGCCCTCGTTCCAACCTTCCAATGCTCGGCCCTCGGATAACTCAAACCTTAGCTACAGATGAAACGAGGAAGATGAGAACAGCTTGAATTCATACAGTAAAAGCGATGGGTATATATGTTAGCTGTGAAAAATATACAGAATTATAGTACCTGATCTTTATCTAACAACACATTCCACTGCTTCTGCTCCACGAGCGTCTTGGTCTCCGCATACGGCATTGAGATCCTATAGTTCAAATCCCCAAACAACACTATACGACTGCATGCAATGCAGGATCATATCAAGTGAATCTTTACGATCGAGTATAAGCAACCAAAAATATTTATAATATGCTGGTGGCAGACTCACTCGTGATTGAGGATCTTCTTTGGCAGATCATTAGAAGCGTCACTAGAAAAGCACGTCCTTGACAATATGTCCATCACATTTGAATTCCTACGCATCTCATCTGCTTCTTTTCCTCCCGAAGCCAAATGGCAGCAGACAAAACAGAAACTTGCTTCATGTAAGCAAAATCTAACAGATACTGAACCCTGCAATGCATGCAGCAAAAGGTGTAAAAGTACTGCTGATTCTGGTCCAACAAGCTCCACATGAACGAGGAGAGAGAGAGAGAGAGAGAGAGGGTTACCTTATTCCTTAAGCAGCCCATGATGCCACAACCAATGCATGAGACTCTTGGATTACTGATGTAGTTCCGGAGATCTTTCCTGACCCATACCGAGACTAAAATTCCAACCATTTGCTTGCTCACAACGCATCTGAACTCTCGGGCTTTGCTCTCTTTGTGGTGGCCATCCTTATGGTGCTCCAATGGCTCACACTTCTGGATCCTCTTTCGATCGTGGAGGTACTTGTTTAGTGTTTCACCTATCAGTGACTTCCACTTCATGGAAATCTGAATCTTTTCAGGACCAAGAACATTCCTGGTGCTAAGTGGTACGATCTCCTGGAACCTACAACCAGCGATTCAAGCCATTGTTACATGGGAGAACTCCTACAACACTTGGAGCTCGTAAAAGACTTTGGGGAAGAGAAATGTGGATCTACCCAAGAACATAGATGTCATACGAGCTCTTTCCGGTGTCCAACCAATCCTCCAAATCCAGATCATCAGTGGGCGGTATCCCTCCAACATTCCATGTACTAACAAACATTCTGAAACAAAGAACAAGTGAAGCATGTTCCCATGTCAGGATCAGCTCATATACCCAAGGCAAAGTTCAGATTTCAAGCTCACTTGTATCTAACGGAGCCCATTTGACCATAGGTTACTCCATCAAGCAATGCCATGAGAACTTGCAGCTTCCAGTTCCGTGGACGTAAGCGACTTAGCTATCACTGCCACCATGGAGTTTAAACATCAGTGAGGAATATAATCCGATGATATGTAGCAAATTGGATACTGTACCTTGATTTGTTGAAGCTGCACGAACTGAGACATGATCCTTGGAGGAGAAGGATGAAACGGGAGAGGCTATTTCTGAGGTAGGAAGCCAATGGAACAAAGTGGTGGAGATGAAGAACAATAATATAATCTGAACACTAGAAGTAGTGGAATTTGCAAGTTGGGAGGAAAGGGACCAAATTGGTGTGACGTTTAAGATGATGGAAGTCAAGCTTTCTTGGCCATTAGTAGGTACTTCTCATTTGAGATATGATTCAGATGGAAAAAAGAAGTAATTTATTTGGACTATGCGTCGAAAATCTAGAATCTTCTTGTTCTATTTCTTGTTAAAAGACAAAAAGAAGAGATTAAGTTATGGAGTGAGTTCATATCAACTGAATGAACAGAGTTTCAAGTGAGACTAGCATAAGAATAGAAGTCAAGGCATGTAGGCAAAGCATGCATCCAAGTCATAAGATGATGATGAAGTCTAACTATTATAACTATGCAAGAGAAATAATGCATGGATTTCAAAGCTCTCTTCTCCTTGACAGGTCTATGGTTCTGAGGTTCCTGAATCCTTCTTTTGGGATTCCTCTGCTCCAAACTAAGTCAGGTCAATCTTCTATGCATTTTAAATGTTATCATTTAGGTTTCCTATCCGCCTTCTTTTCTGATTGATAAGCTGGCTGCTGCAGTTGGTTGATGTACTAAAGTTGTGTACTATGACCACATAACATTGATTATATTCTCTACTATCTTTGTCTGTTCTTTTGGTGTAAAAACATGTTAGCACTTCTCAGAGAAGCCATCCAGGAAGACAGATGCAAGATTAACCAACATCCTTCTAAGGAAGTTTGCAACACCTACTCCAGCTGAAACATTTGTGGAGAAAAGAACAGATTTGCAAGCTTGTCCTAATAATGGATGGGGATTTTATAGGACTGCAGAACAAGCAATTTAAAGAGGTCCAGAACCTCTCACAAGTCAACAAATTAAACAGTCTTATTGCTTATCTTGATGGTCTAAGGAGAATCAGTCAAGCAAGTGAAGCAATTTATGTTTTGCAATTGTGGTTTCTGATTGCTTTGAAGAACATTATCTAATAATATTGTCTTGAGATTTTCTATAACATATGTTTGATTTTTTGCTTGGTTGATCTGATTTGACAGTAAATAGTTAGGACTTACGATTTTATTATTATTGATTAATATGATATGACATAAAGTAATAAAAATTAAAACATAAAGAAGTCAATTAGTGTTATATATTTTGAAACAAATTATCTGAATTTTTCAACCTTACGATAGGAGGATGGGAAAACTCATAAGTAACATTCTACTTACAATATTAGCATTTGGGTCCCCAAAGTTGGATAAATTATCAAATTATATATACAAATGTAGTGGTCATAAGAGTTTTCAAGCTACATTTTTATCATTAATCCGAGAGGATAAGAACCCACTAAAGTAGTGAATCATGATTAAATTTTCTTATTACTTAATTACGATAATTTCATGAAGCATTGTATCAATCTTTTTTATCTCAAGCATAAAAAATCTACTAGGATAGAGTGTGTCACATTGACTCGATTGTGAACTTATACTCCATTCTTTCTATGTAAGCTTCTTGAGTAAACTCTTTTTAGAATGCACAATCACTTAAATCGCTATTAACATCTCGAAGAATCTCTTATAATGGAGTTTGTCTCATAGGCTCAACTATACCCTTCCACTGTTTCATTCCTCTAGATAAGTCTCGTAAGCAAATTCTTTTTGAGATGCATAACAACCTAAATCATCATCAACATCTTCAAGAATTAGCATGTCTAACATATTTGATTGTGCACTTTTACTCCACTCTTCCTTAAGGTAAAGTGTATCTCTAGGAATCTTATTTTTTCTAGAACGAAAATGGTTCTAAGCAATTGAGACATGCTTTAAGATCTAATTGAAGGCTTCACTCTCTCGACTCGAACTCAAAACAATTGTGTAAAGGCAACCTATAGAAACTCAAATACTAATAATTATAATATTATGATCATTACAATATACTTTTTTTAATTTCATTGTCAATAGTTTTTACGGGCCATCACCACTCCTCTTAGTGATAGGGATCACACATAGTTCATCAACGCCTATGAGATATAAGTAGAAATTGGTCAATGACATCTATATTATCTTGATCTCGTGCATGAACGATTACTTGAAAATCATCTAATGACACCACTATCATATTGGTACTTTTACTTCACATCCCTATCTTGATGGGACCAACTTAAGATCCTCTTGGCCTCCAATACTTCCATTTAGATTGGACTTTTCTCTAAGTTTAACTCTAACATCTTTGTTTCACAATCAATAATGTAATTATGAATAGTGCTCATATCCATTATTGCATGAATCGTTCGACAATTAAGTTTTATGTGCACATATATTAGATAATTGCTTCCTATTTTAAGTTGCTTTTGTTTTATCGACTTAACCTTTGATCTTCACTTTTGGATTTAGAATTGCTCAAACTAAAAGCAATAATTTTATCTTTGCAATGTATTATTTCTTATTTTAAGCAGTCAGCCTTGGTAGAGCTCTTTCATGCTTGCTTGAACGAGATCGAGACACGCTTCAACCTTTTGTAAGTTTCTGATGTCAACACTTCCATGCTTGGTGGAGCTCTTCTCGTGCCTTTGGTCCAGTCAACGCTTCCTCAGTTTGAGGAGAGTCATCTACTTCGAGATCACCATCTTGACTGTCATACTCATCGTGAGCAACTCCTATTGTTTGCTCATGTGTTTGCATACAAATTTTCTCTATTCGTTTGTCCATCACCCTAAAGAAAATTTTCTAGTTTATTAACTAAAACCATGATAATGATGATCAAATTTGACTTGGTTGTAAGAAAGCCTTTAACCGAGATTTGGTATATCCTCTATGTTCGTTGGCTACAAAATTCCAGCTTCAAATCATACTTCATCTGTGATAACACTTCACTGGCTCGAAAACATCTTGTACACACACCTTACTTCATCATCATTCCCAGCAATTGATTCATTTCATGTGATGAAAATTAACAGGAACTTACGAAAGCTTTTAGTCGACCGACTTTCTTGATTCTCTTCCACCATTTTTTTGCATAAAATAAAATCCTTAGTTGCTGTTCCTTGTATCAAACACCACATGACAATGCAAACCCTGCAAATGAATGTGAGATACATGCCAACAAAAATGTAATAAAGTATGGATTTTTATATAATTCTACTTTTAGATACTTGGTAGGGTATGCAAGTCATACAAAGCCGTATGCCAAGCCAGAAAAAGATCGTGCTTTGCATGAACATATTGTGGCTCTTATCAACCATATGGATTATACATCATTTAAAGTTAGACCATAGGAGAAATTTACATCTCGTTTTTCCAAATAGAAACAAGGATGCACGTTAAATTTATATAAGATACCGATGTCGAAACCCTCAATACAACCAGCTGAAATAATGAAATAGCAAAGCTGCTCAGAAGCTCTGGTATTATCTATTCATATGTATCCAGGAAGAGCTCGGTTGTAGAGGTGGCTGTAAAGATGAAAGAGCACTCAGTAAAAACAAATGATATAGCATATTAGCATTAATGATTTTAGACTGTGTCTATATATAAGTTATGAGCAAATAGAAGTTTGTGAAAAGGAAAAAAAAAAGGAGATAAATATACTTGTTAAGAAGGGTATGTTCTAACAGTGTAAATCAGCATAGTCTTTGATGTGGAAATCTAGATGAAGATAATGATTGAAGAGGAGACATAAACTAGGTTTTAATGCACTTTGTTTGTCTTTCTTTTTCTTCGTCTTACCAATTAGGTTTCTGTGAAAGTGATAATAACATCAAACATCGGAGTACAAGTAGAAAAAAAAAGGTTTTTAGTATGTGCAAGACAGATTTCTGCAAGCCAGATACTTATATATTGACAATTATTGCAAAGATCTCATGATCCTAGCAAATTCATGATGCAGAATTGTTGCGATGAACATCTACGACTAACTGCAGTCATGCCCTGCACCAGTGAGCTGGCTAGCTTACAAGTCACAAGATGAGATGATAGAGGGAAACATGGACGTCATAGCTTTGCAGGGGAGGAAGTGGGCGAAGAGATCATCTTCTTGAAGAAGTGGAGGAGGGAGAGAGCTATGCGGACGGTGGGGTCGATGCTGGCGACCTGCCTGAACTTTGCATGGACGAGCATCGCCGCCTCGACGCCCACCCCCAGCCTGGCCTGCTCATCCTTGATCGCCTCCGTGCACAGCCCGCACACCCACACGCCGCCGAACTGCTCCTTCACCCACCCTATGTACTCCACCGTGCACTCCTCCCACATGCCGCAGCACCCGCACTCCGCCACCTTCACCACTTCACCGTTCCCCGCTGCCATTTCCTCCCTCTTCCACACCCTCTTCTTGTTATCCTGTCTTCAGCTCCTAGTATGACATCTGTAACTTCACTTATATGGAATCCATGGCTCAGTTTCGAGCTCGTAATAAAGCTCATAGTACCTTTTGGTGTTATATGTAGATGACAACTTCTTGTCGCCTTGTAATCAATGTCATATTACTTTTGGTAGATAACAACTTCTTGGCGCTTTGTGCGGAGCTCGTCATCTTCTCTGTGTAGGTGAATAGCACTACTTTAAAGAGAAAGTAGCAGAGCATCTTTCTGTATGCTTTCTCACAGGCTTGCTTTTCTTCTTTATCCATATGAAAACCATGAACTTAATTATTTCCAACAAAATGGCATTCACAGAAGGCATGCACATGTTATTTTGTGATAGCCAATGGTTATGACCAAGTAAGGCATTAATATTTTGCTTTTGCTATGCCATCTTACACTTGAGAGGTCATACATGGCGGTAACACGAAGAGATGAATATATACTTGGAAAAAGATGCTTTTGTGACAGATCTTTGGGAGGGTTCTCAACTCCTGTGAGATATCATATGATGCAGATACGTCAGGAAACCCAAAAGATCAGCAAATTTGATAGATTGATTGAAAGTCTTGTCCTCTAGTGAAAGCATCCATGGTTTGCTGAAACCACACCTCGTGCTAGAGAGAGAAGAAGCGAGGAGTGAGAATTCTGCAGGTAGACTTGCATGGAAGACTGGGAAGCTTTCATTCATATATATGTTTCAGCAACAGTGGTGGGAGAGAGTCCATCGTTTCTGCATAAATAGATAGGGTATCTTTTATAGGTTGGAACTATAGATCTCATCACAGTACCTTTGAGCAGTAGGTGCAGTAACAGTTGTCTCGTTGTCAACATTACGAGATCCCCATAGCTTTCTAGATGGAGCAATCCATTGACAACTTGCTTTGCCATTGTTCAGCCTTTCTGAGGAATACAACATCGGTTTATTGTCTGCCATTTTCTCCTTTAAATGAAGCCTTTTATGTCGGACTCTTTACAACAGTGTAGCCATATACGATATTATCAGTGAGCAGAAACCCATCTATTGCTCGGAGTACTCTGAGACGAGATTTATTGGCTTTGGCGTAGGAAATGGACTGCAGACATTCACATGGAGACATTAATCAACCACCAAATTCTAAGGTACACGTATATTATATGTACATAGAGAAAGAGATAGAACGGGGCTCTATGCACCATTTGGAGCGGCACCTAACTCAACTTTTCGCTACCTTTTGTTGATCCCAGAGGCTTGGTTGTACTGTACTCCCTTGTTTTGTACTCCTTTATATAATAATAATAATAATAAAATCTTTTTCTATTATGAGTAACCAAAAAGTCAAAAAAGAAAAGCTCATAATTATAATGAACTATATGATAATAATAATAATAATAACCACAGAACTCAAAGGAAGTCATTGTAAGGAGCTAAATGATAACCACAGAACAAATGTATACGAAAGGAGACATTTCTATAGGTTTAGTAAACATAGGTCGAAAAGAGCAAATAATGCTATTTGGCTTAAATGTTCACAAATTTTTATAATAGATATTTTTTTCTCACTTTTTAGATAATTTTATTTGCTGGGCTTGGTTTGATTCGGTTCAATAAAATTTTAAACCTTTTAGAAGTCAAACCATCTTCAAACTTTTTAATTAGATAACCAAAAATATATTTGAGAAATAAAATTTTATATTTTAATATAAGAATACTAAAATTTTATATGAAATCTAAAATACCTATCAACAAAAAATTTAGATTTTATAATACAATATATAAACATAGAATATTTTCAAATATCAAAAGAGCCATAAAATAAACATACATTTTAAAAAATTGACACTATTTATGTAGTTTTAAAAAATATTTAGAATATAAATACATTGTTATATTTAAAATATATGACTAAAACTACTTTAATATTTATACATTTATATATTTTCCAAAAATAACAATATGTCACATGCATTTTTATGTCTTTCAAAATATTTTCAATCTTTTCATAAATTTTGAAAGAATTTTTTTGTTTTCATATCTTTATAGTTTTATCCGTTTTTTTGTTAATTTGGTTAGGTTTACTTCATTGCACTGATTCTTAATACATTGACCTTAAAATATTTCTAAAATATTTTTATTTTTTTAATTCATTTTGACTTATTTTCAAAATATTTCCTATATGTAACGAAAGTAATTTATCATTCAATGATTTTTTTTTTATTTGTGACATGCACTTTGAAGAATAAGTACAAAATTGACATGAACATCTCTTATACCTATTCTTGGTCAGTGGTGATGATTCTCCAACAGTCGCTTGTTCATGAAAGCGATTAAAAGACTACTCAAAGGAAGTCATTGTAATGAGCTATATGATCACCACAGAACAGATGTAGATGAAAGGAATTATCACTACAGGTTTAGTAAACATAGGTCGAAAAGAGCCAATAACAAAGCCAAAGGGCTCAGAAATCTTTTGTGCAGCAATGAACTGATAGTTAAGCTCCCTTAGCGGCCGCGTGAGTCATTAGCCTTCTTTGAAGGAATGCTATTTGGCTTCATCCTCGACGTGGCAGTGTCTTTCATGTCATCAGCATTTGGTGCCGCCTCAAATATACCCTATATTAAGATTGGAAACATCGATTGCCTTACAGTAAATATGTGTAACACAACTTAGTTCTTGACGTGAGATTGTAAAAACGTTCACATTCCTGTCATGTTACTATTTGATGTTTGCTTTTACAGAGATAAAGATAGTATGCAAGCAAGTATAGTTATAGTTAGTATTAACATTTAGGAAAGATTCTTTAACCCTACAAGTATAGAGTGATATATACATACAAGTCAAAATTGACTTGTAGTGTACGACCTTGTCATCCATAAATTTAACGTGAATGCAACAAAAAATAAAGAGAAAGCCAACTTACACGATCTATGGATCTCTTTAAGGTAGATACAAGAAGATGATCCCCTAAAACCACACTTATCTTCCCAAGAAACTTTTCACTGGTTAGCGCACCCGTCTGCCAGACATTCATCAAACCAGAAAAATCAATTGCTCGACGAATGATCCAAAGAAGGAACATGAAACACAAGTGTTCTGTCACGTAGGAACCTGGAAATCAACATGATGGCGGAACAGCAACTCCTTCTCTATTGGAGAAATGTGGTGTTGCACCTTATAGTACAAGATAGTATATGGCATTTGCTGATTTATCTCATGTCCTGGAAGTGATACGAACGTATGTTTCTGCAAGAGACGATCAATGATATGATAATTAGGACAGCTTCACCTCTGTGACCGACGCATTCAAAGAAAAGGTGGGTGTGCTCACAGGAGCGGAGAGCCGATTGAACGGTGGAATATTTCTTATCGGATTCTTGTCAAAGCGGAAATCGCTTAGATCAAAGAAGTACTCTGCCACATGCAAGAATAAAGATATCATTCAAAGAAGATGATCTAATGTCTTGAGTTACGATCATTGCATACCTTGGAGATTTGGGGGCAACTTGAAAATGACGACAGATCTTGGATGAACACGAGTATTTGCGTGGGTGGCCCATACCACGAAACACCTGGGATCCTTACGGAAGTCCACCCCAGAATCATAGTCATCGCTGCTGGGTGAATTTTGCAGAGAACCAGGCCGGACTTGTTCCAAGTTTCCCAAGATGACTTGGCATAGCAGCATGCACTGCACTCCGTTTCCGTCAACACTGCAAAGATTGACGCTGCAGAAATTTTCGGAAGAGCCAAATCAACTCACACAGTTGCATCGAAGCAAGAATCAGCGGTCGCTATAACCTAACACAAAGAACCTGGAGAAGGAACGGTGATATGGCGTAAGGTAGATGCCGCTGCCGAAAGCTGCTCCTACGGTGGGTGCGACCGCGGATCCAAATCCAGAGGTCAGAATTCTGAGGATTTCCTGCGTCGTTGATCCAAACCATGCGTACTTGGCATTTGCATTGCCACGCTTCTCTCTCGTGGATCTCAGCTGACTCTCAAATGCTTGGTATTGCACTTGAGCGTTAGTATCTTTTGGAACATACTCGTATATGCACAGTACGTTCTCGGGCTTGACAAAGGATGGCATCCCCCAAAGGAAAAGCTTCTCCATGAAGGCGAAGCTTCCGCTGTCCGTTTGCAGATTGAGTATTTTAGCCTCTGGGGCGGGAGGCCCATTTCCGTCGCCGGCGATAACTTCTGTCACCATTTGAGGGGCCGGAACCGAATATGCCTGTGGCCTGACCACACCAGAAACCTGCTCACTGGGTTCATCGACTCCCCCGTCGAATGATACGCAAGGGAAGAAGCATCGATCGGCCTCGTCGATCCATGCCACAGAGGCATGTTTCTTTGTCCTCGAGTTCGACATGACCATGCATAATAGGTCGACAAGCATTAGCTCGCAACCAAAGAAGACGACCATACAGGGCATCTGGTGGCGGAATCCGTCGATGATCGCCTCCCTCGCCGACTCGGGAAAATCGGTCCACTCACCACGCTTGTAGTACAGGATGCGGCGGGGCAACCCGCTGTTTAAATAGTTCCTGTAAGACACCTGATTGGGCTTCCAATGCCAGCAAGTGAGATTCCTGACAGATGTACGTCTTGTTCCGACCAGTGGTAATTCAGAGGACCATTTTGCTCTAGTGTATATGGTATTATCAATTCTCTATGAATATTATTTTCTTCATAAAAAAAATTAAACTCATTAGATAAAAATTCACCATCTCTATCTATCCGAAGTGTCTTTATATATCTACCACTTTGCCTTTCTACAAGTGTCTTGAATTTTTAAAAATTATCAAATATTTTATATTTTAATTTCAGAAAATATACCTGCGGCTATAATCATCAGTAAACAATAGAAAATATTGACTTCGACCAAATGATTTTGTATTCATAGGTCCATATAAGTCAACATGAATTAATTCAAGACAATTAGATGCTCTCTATGCTTTTCCAATAGGAAATGGTTTTTTACTTTGTTTGCCATAAATGCATCATTTTTTATTTTAAACCTTAAACCCTTAACATTAAGGTGTTCATATCTTAAATGCCATAAATTTGACTCATTAGAATTTGACTCATTCTTTTGAGTTACGACAAGAGCATGCTTTTAAATATTTGAAACATGAAGTGAAAACATCTTGTTTTGTGTCATACAAACATTTACTATAATCAAACCAGATTTTTTTTTATCTTTAATAGTATATTAACCATCATCAAATATAACTAAATATCCATCATCTATCAATTGACCAACACTCAACAAATTATGTGATAAAGTAGGAACAAAGAAAACATTATCAAGGTATTTTACCTTCCTTGATTTATCTTCACCTTAATTGTTCATTTTCTTTTCACTTGGATTTACTTGTTATCTCCAAGTCTAACTTTCAACTTATGAGTTTCATCAATATCCCTAAACATTGATCTTATGCCTGACATATGATTAGAACATCTACTATTCAGAAACCAAATATCATTTGAAATATTATTAACTTATGAATGAGTCATAAACAACTTACTATTTTCTTCATTTTCCTCTACATAAATTGCTTATTTTTTTTCTTTTCCAACAATCTACCTTTATGTGACCAAACTTTTTACAATAGTGACATTGAATTCCACTCTTGTAATTTTTTTATCATAATTTGATTGTCTTTGTTCTTCATACCTATCAAAGTGTTCTCTTCCTCTTCCTCTTCTATTTTCTCTACCATGAAATCCTCCTCTGCCACGTCCTCTTCCTATTGATTTTTTGTCTTCTTTTGAAGTAGAAGACTCTCCCTTAACCTGAAATATTTTTTCTTCACTTTTTTCAAGTGACATGTTCAACTTTGCTTCATGTGCTTGCAAGAAAGCCATTAGTTCATCAAATGAAAATATAGATAAACCTTTAGACTCCTTAATTGCGGCAACAACATGATCAAATTTCGGAGTTAAACTTCTCAAAACTTTTGTAACAATTATATGATCGGGAAGATGTTCACCATAAGATTTTATTTGACTAACAATTCCAGTCACTCGAGAAAGAAAATCTTGCACCGATTCATTACTTTTCATTAACAAAATTTCAAACTCATGACGAAGGGTTTGAAGTTTTACCATAATCACCCTTGATGAGCCTTTAAATTCATTTTGAAGTATCAACCAAGCTTGCTTTGAGGTTGTCGCTGTTGCAATTCTCGAGAAGATTATCTCAAGTACAGCTTGTTAAATGAAGAACAATGCCTTTGAGTTATTCTTTTTATTCTCCCTCAGCTTGTTAAATGAAGAACAATGCCTGTGTGATTTGCCCGAGAAGATGGGAATAAGGGATTGCGACATGGAATTGTCATTAAAAGTCATAATGCCCGGCTCAGATTGAAACTATACTCTAACACAAATGTTGAGGATGGAGGAGCAAGTAAACGATAAAAACAGAATACTACGATGCAATTAAAAGGAATCCTTTTGATCAAAAAAATCGATGCAGGAAGATTGACAAGAACACTTATAAGATATTTCCAAGTGCACACATTCTCTACCTTGCTTCATGGACTAATCCTATTTATAGGACCTAATAGTAACTATCCCCTTTCTATGTCACCAATGATTGAGGTAGTTATAGTAACTATATTATAACTTCTAGATCATGCATCATTTCTTAAAATATACCTAAAACTATATAGATAAGTATTATAAACCAGGCCGGACTTTTGCATGCTTCCCAAGATAACTTCGCACAGCAGCATGCACTGCACTGCACTCCGTTTCCGTCAAATCACACAGTTGTATCGAAGCAAGAATCAGCGGTTGCTATAACCTAATAAAAGGCACCTGGAGAAGGGACGGCTGCCTGGCGTAAGGTAGTTGCCGCTGCCGAAAGCTGCTCCTGCGGTGGGTGCGACCGCCGATCCAAATCCACAGGTCAGAATTCTGAGGATTTCCTGCGCCGTTGATCCAAACCATGCGTACTTGAAATTTGCATCGCCACGCTTCTCTCTCTTGGATCTCAGCTGACTCACAAATGCTTGGTATTGCACTTGAGCGTTAGTATCTTTTGGAACATACTCGTATATGCACAGTACGTTCTCGGGTTTAACAAAGGATGGCATCCCCGAAAGGAACAAGTGCTCTGTGAGGAAGAAGGTTGAGCTGTCCCTCTGGAGATTGAGTGCGTTAGCCTCTGGGGCAGGAGGCCCATTTCCGAAGCCGGCAATAACTTGCGGAACGGAAGAAGATGCCGAGCCTGGCCACTTCCTGGATCATAGCGCCCATGACACAAGAAACCTGCTCACTGGTTTCAAATGCTCCATCGTCGAATGGTAGGCTAGGAGGGAAGAAGCATCGATTGGCCTCGTCGATCCATGCCACAGAGGTATGTTTCTTTGTCATCGAGTTCGACATGACCATGCATAATAGGTCGACAAGCATTAGCTCGCAACCAAAGAAGACGACCACACAGGGCATCTGGTGGCGGAATCCATCGATGATCACCTCCCTGGTCGACTCGGGAAAATCGGTCCACTCTTGTAGTACAGGATACGGCAGGTCAGTTCGCTGTTTAAATAGTTCCTGCAACTCTCCTAGTTGGGCAGCCATGCCAGCAACCGAGGTTGCTGACTGATGTACGTCTTGTCCCGACTCGAGGGAACTCGGAAGCACTTGGAGCGGTGCCGCCTTCCTCAGCCAGGCGCTTCAAGTCTCTTGGATCCATTGCAAACGGGCTTCAAGAAACCAAAACACAAGCTATACTGTATCTATTCAAGAATTAGGTGGATTCAAGAATCAAATCAGTATGGAGCCAAGACAACACCCCTATGCTGCCTGTATTCAAGAATTCAATTAGTATCATTAAAGCAGTCATACTAATTGAATCACCTAACGAAACCCCGAAGGCCGACAAGCCTCATCGATCATGAGAAGACTACAACATCGATCATGAAAAGCTTTTGTCACCTTGGTAATCACCGAAAGAATAGCAATATTGGTGGCCTCAGACAACTCAAGAAAGAACACACCTTCTCTTTCGTCCTCGCAGGCTTCCGATGCTTGCGTTGGCCTTAGAGAGGAGGAGACTACGGAGAGCCGAAGAGGGTAGGATTCGAAAATTTGTAATACCCAAATGGAAAGGAAATGCACTTCGCAATAATGTCCAATACTTTTATAAATGTACATTATTGTTCTCCTTTGGCCTTCCGACGGATTTGATTGTCGTAAAAGAAGGATAACTCTTCTTATGGACCATAAAATATCTATGCTTGAAGAAAAAATTACTGCAATTCTTTGGATTTATTTCAAAAATAAAATCAAAAAAATGGTCGACTTTTTATGAAAGTTGAGTGGATCTATTTTGGTTTTATATTCTACTTAAGATTATATTTTATTATCAATTAAGGTATAGATCAATCAAGGACAAAATAGTAAGAAAATATGTGGATTACGAAATTATCAAGGCACTTTAATAATGATAATAGAAACTTAATATGCATAATAGTCCTCAATTTATTAGGTCCTAGTGAATTTACATTTGTTCATGCCTATTTATTTGTGTTAATTTTCTACCATGCAGTGGTGATGTCAATAAAGTAAATGGATGCATTACTGTATCTTTTCTTGATGTTTATGAGATGAAAACATAATTCATCTATGATTATAAAAAAAAATTTCTTGAATGTTTAATTTTCAAATTAGCTAAAATAGAATTTCTTGTATATTTATTATTTTTTTATTTTGATTCTCAAACATGGTGTTAAGAATAGTAACATGAGATGACAAGAGAGAGTCTTAAGTGAAGAGCTTATGATTTCAATAAGATAATCATTATACAAAATCCATGATAGAAACAACATTTTAAATGTTCACAAATTTTTAAAAAATATATTTTTCCTCACTTTTTAGAAGATTTTATTTGCTGGGCTTGGTTTTATTTGGTTCAATGAAATTTTAAACCGGTTCAAAGTCAAACCATCTTATAACTTTTTAATTAGATAACCAAAAATATATTTAAGAAATAAAATTTTATATTTTAATATAAGAATACTAAAATTTTATAAGAAATCCAAAATACATATCAACAAAAACTTTAATACAATATTATTTGTGCAATGTATAAACATAGAATATTTGCAAATATCAAAAGAACCATAAAATAAACATACATTTTAAAAAATTGACACTATTTCTATAGATTAAAATAATATTTATAATATAAATACATTGTTGTATTTTTTTATTATATATTTTAATATAACTAAAACTATTTCAATATTTATACATTTATATATTTTCTAAAAATAACAATATGGCACATGCATTTTTATGCCTTTCAAAATATTTTCAATTTTTTTATAAATTTTGAAATAATTTTTTATTTTCATATCTTTATAGTTTTATCCTTTTTTTTTTGTTAATTTAGTTAGGTTTAATTCATTGCACCGATTCTTAATACATTGACCTTAAAATATTTTTATTTTTTGTTAATTCATTTTGACTTATTTTTAAAATATTTCCTATATGTAACGAAAGCAATTTATCATTCAATGATTTTTTTTTATTTGTGACATGCACTTTGAAGAATTAAGTACAAAATTGACATGAACATCTCTTATACCGGTCAGTGTCGATGATTCTCCAACAGTCGGTCTGCAAGTCTGTTCATGAAAGCGATTAAAAGACTACTCAAAGGAAGTCATTGTACTGAGCTAAATGATCACCACAGAACAGACGTAGATGAAAGGAATTATCACTACAGGCTTAGTAAACATAGGTCGAAAGGAGCCAATAACAAAGCCAAAGGGCTCAGAAATATTTTGTTCAGCAATGAACTGATAGTTAAGCTCCCTTAGCGGCCGCTTGAGTCATTAGCCTTCTTTGAAGGAATTCTCCTTGGCTTCATCCTCGACGAGGCAGTGTCTTTCATGTCATCAGCATTTGGTGCCGCCTCCAATATACCCTATATTAAGATGGAAACATCGATTGCCTTACGGTAAATATGTGTAACACAACTTAGTTCTTGACATGAGATTGTAAAAACGTTCACATTCCGTCATGTCACTATTTGATGTTTGCTTTTACAGAGATAAAGATAGTATGCAAGCAAGTATAGTTATAGTTAGAATTAACATTTAGGAAAGATTCTTGAACCCTAGAAGTATATAGTGATATATACAAACAAGTCAAAATTGACTTGTAGCGTACGACCTTGTCATCCATAAATTCAAGCCTGAATCCTGCAACATATTGCTGTATTTTCTCTCCTTTCATCCCATGAAATATGTGTACGTGAAAACATGTTAACATCGACTTTACAACCTAGTCATCCATCAAAGCGGTAGAAGATGTATATACATATATTCTTCATAGACTACTTTACAACCTTGTCATCCATCCGTAAAGGATTTGCATGTAAAGCAAGAAGTCCTCTAATATAACGTGAATGCAACAAAAAATAAAGAGAAAGCCAACTTACACGATCTCTCGATCACTTTAAGGTAGATACAAGAAGCTGATCCCCTAAAACCACACTTATCTTCCCAAGAAACTTTTCACCAGTTAGCGCACCTTTCTGTTAGGCATTCATCAAACCAGAAAAATCAATCGCTCGACGAATGATCCAAAGAAGGTACATCAAACACAAGTGTTCTGTCACGTAGGAACCTGGAAATCAACATGATGGCGGAACAGCAACTCCTTCTCTATTGGAGAAATGTGGTGTTGCACCTTATAGTACAAGATAGTATATGGCATTTGCTGATTTATCTCATGTCCTGGAAGTGATACGAACGTATGTTTCTGCAAGAGACGATCAATGATATGATAATTAGGACAGCTTCACCTCTGTGACCGACGCATTCAAAGAAAAGGTGGGTGTGCTCACAGGAGCGGAGAGCCGATTGAAACGTGGAATATTTCTTATCGGATTCTTGTCAAAGCGGAAATCGCTTAGATCAAAGAAGTACTCTGCCACATGCAAGAATAAAGATATCATTCAAAGAAGATGATCTAATGTCTTGAGTTACGATCATTGCATACCTTGGAGATTTGGGGGCAACTTGAAAATGACGACAGATCTTGGATGAACACGAGTATTTGCGTGGGTGGCCCATACCACGAAACACCTGGGATCCTTACGGTCGTCCACCCCAGAATCATAGTCATCGCTGCTGGGTGAATTTTGCAGAGAACCAGGCCGGACTTGTTCCAAGTTTCCCAAGATGACTTGGCATAGGAGCATGCACTGCACTCCGTTTCCGTCAACACTGCAAAGATTGACGCTGCAGAAATTTTCGGAAGAGCCAAATCAACTCACACAGTTGCATCGAAGCAAGAATCAGCGGTAGCTATAACCTAACACAAAGAACCTGGAGAAGGAACGGTGATATGGCGTAAGGTAGATGCCGCTGCCGAAAGCTGCTCCTACGGTGGGTGCGACCGCGGATCCAAATCCATAGGTCAGAATTCTGAGGATTTCCTGCGTCGTTGATCCAAACCATGCGTACTTGCCATTTGCATTGCCACGCTTCTCTCTCGTCGATCTCAGCTGACTGTCAAATGCTTGGAATTGCACTTGAGCGTTAGTATCTTTTGGAACATACTCGTATATGCACAGTACGTTCTCGGGCTTGACAAAGGATGGCATCCCCGAAAGGAAAAGCTTCTCCATGAAGGCGAAGCTTTCGCTGTCCGTTTGCAGATTGAGTATTTTAGCCTCTGGGGCGGGAGGCCCATTTCCGTCGCCGACGATAACTTCTGTCACCATTTGAGGGGCCGGAACCGAATATGCCTGTGGCCGGACCACACCAGAAACCAGCTCACTGGGTTCGTCGGCTCCCCCGTCGAATGATAGGCAAGGGAAGAAGCATCGATCGGCCTCGTCGATCCATGCCACAGAGGTATGTTTCTTTGTCATCAAGTTCGACATGACCATGCATAATAGGTCGACAAGCATTACCTTGCGACCAAGGAAGACGGCCATACAGGGCATCTGGTGGCGGAATCCGTCGATGATTGCCTCCCTCGCCGACTCGGGAAAATCGGTCCACTCGCCACGCTTGTAGTACAGGATGCGGCGGGGCAACCCGCTGTTTAAATAGTTCCTGTAAGTCCCCTGATCGGGCTTCCGATGCCAGCAAGTGAGATTCCTGACAGATGTACGTCTTGTTCCGACCAGTGGTAATTCATAGGACCTTCGAGCAGTGCCGTCTTCCTCAACCGTGCGCTTCGAGCCTCTTGGATCCATTGCAAACGGGCTTCAAGAAACTAAAACACAAGTTATACTCTGCATGTATTCTAGGATTAGGTGGATTCAAGAATCAAATCAGTATGGAGCCAAGACAACACCCCTATGCTGCCTGAATTCAAGAATTCAATTAGTATCATCAAAGCACTCATACTAATCGAATCACCTAATGAAGCCCCGAAGGCCGACAAACCTCATCGATCATGAAAAGACTGCGAATCCAATTCAGAAAGAAAAGAAGAAAAGGAGAAAAGCTTTTGTCACCTTGGTAATCACCAAAGGAACAGCAAGCAATGTTGGTGGCCTCAGACAACTCAAGAAAGAACAACCTTCTCTTTGATCCTCTTAGCCTTCCGATGCTTGCGTTGGCCGTAGAGAGGAGACTAAGGGTAGGATTTGGAAAATTGTGACGCTCAAATGCAAAGGAAATGCACTTCGCAATAATGTCCAATACTTTTTATAAATGTACATTATTGTTCTCCAATCGACTTGATTGCCATAAAACAAGAATAATATTTCTTATGGACTATAAAATATCGATGCTTGAAATTATGAAAATGGTACTGCAAGTCTTTGGATTTATTTCATCGAGTGAAACCATCTTAGTTTTATATTCTACTTAACATTATATTCTATAGTCAATTGAGGTATAGATTAATCAAGGACAAGTCAGTATGAACATATGTGGATTACATACAAAATTGTCAAGCCACTTCAATAATGGTAACAGAAATTTAATGTGCATAAGAATCCTCAATTTTGGTCCTACTGAATTTTTTACCATGCAGTGATGATATCACGAAAGTAAAAAAGGGGCGCATTAATGTATATTTTCTTGATGTTTATGAGATGGAAACATGATTCATCTATGATTTTATAAAATTCTTAAATGTTTAGTTTTCAAATTAGCTATAACAGAATTTCTTGTATATTTATTTTTTATTTTAGTTCTTAAACATGGTGTTAAGAATAGTGACATGTGATGACAAGATGCATAGCTTATGATTTTCATAAGAAAATTATTATATAAATCTATAATAAAAAGAACATTTTAAATGTTCACAAGTTTTAAAAAGATATTTTTTTTCATACCTTTTATATTATTTTATTTTTCAAGATTGGTTTGATTTGAATCAATAAAATTTTATACCGGTTCTAAGTCAAATCATCTTCAAACTTTTTAACTAGATAACCTAAAAGTCATTATAAAGATATATTTGAGAAATAAAACTTATATTTTAATATAACAATATTAAAATTTTAGTGAACAATCTAAAATACAGATCAACATAAAATTCAGATTATTTTTTTAAAAATTAATACAACATTATTTGTATAATATATAGACATATAACATTTTCAAATATCAAAAGGATCAATAAATAAACAAAAAAATTGACACTTTTTATGAAATGATATTTAAATATATTTCTAATAATATATTTTTAATATGAATAAAACTATTTTAATATATATTATTTTAGAAAATAATAATATGGTTGACGCATTTTTATGCCTTTTATTTTATATTTCAAATTTTATATAAATTTAAAAATATTTTTCTATTTTCTATTATTATATTTTTTAATTTATTTTTTAAAATTTGTTTAGGTTTAATTCATCGCACCAATTCTTAATACATTAACCAAGTACTGAGTATAAAGAAAGGGACAGAAAAATTAAATGATTGTGATATTTGACAAAGAGCCAAAACCAATGATTTTTTAATAAATTCATCCTATTTTTAAATAAAAATATAAATCAAAATTAATAAAATAATAATTAGTAATTAAGATGAAAAACTAAAGTGGGATAAACAAATTTTGTAATATTCTTTATCACTTTACTTTAAGTAAGACAAAACCATTTTCACGATGTATGACAACCTAAATCACCTTCGACGTTTAGCCTAAGAATTTCTTAGGAAGAAGTATATCTTATAGACTCATCTATACTCTTTCACTCTATTCTTTCTTTATGCAAGCATCTTCATCAAATCTTATATAGGATACAAAGCTACCTAAATTATTATCAGCATTTTGAAGAATCTCCAAAGATAGAGTGTATCGCGTAAGCTCAATTTTATCTTTTCACTTCATCCTTTATCTATGTAAGCTTTCTAAATAAATTATTTTCAAAACACAAAGTAAGTTAAATCCTCATCGGCATCTCAAAGATTCTCTCATGATGAAGTGCATCTCTTAGACTCTAATGTACCTTACATTGTATTATTCCTCCTAAGTAAATCCTTTTAGGATACAATACAACCTATATTACCATCAACATCTTGAATAATCTTTTAGAATTGAGTATTTCTTATTGGCTCAACAATGTTATTCTCAAGTTTTCTTCTAGGTAAGTTTGTTAAGCAAATCCTTCGTAAGACATGAAACAGCCTAAATCATTATTAATATCTCATAAACTCAATTATGTCGTTCTATTCAATTCTTCCTCTAAGTAAGCTTACTTATATAAATCATTATCAATATCTTGAAGAATTTCTTAAAATAAAGTGTCTCGTAGACTCAACTATACTCTTTCACTCTATTCGTTTTTCAGATAAGCTCTTTAAGCAAACCTCATATAAGACACAAAGTAATCTAAATCTTATCAGCGTCTTAAATAATCCTTCAAGATAGAGTACATCTTGTATACTCAAATGTATCCTTTTACTCCATTCTTCCTTGAGGTAAGCTTCCTAAGCAAACCCTTTTCAAGACATAAAATAGTATAAATCTCTATCAATATCTTGAAGAATCTCTTAAAATAAAATGCATCTCTAAAACTCAATTATGCCCTTCCACTCTATTCTTCCTCTAGGTATGCTTCCTAAGCAAACATTTTTAGAATACAAAATAACTTTAATTGCCATCAATATCTTAAAGAATCTCTTAGCAAATCATTTTAGGACATAAAGCAACCTAAATTGTCATCAATATCTTGAAAATTTTCTTAGGATGGAGTACATCTCACAAACTCAATTGTATCATTCTATTTAATTCTTCCTCTATGTAAGCTTCATATATAAATCATTATTAGCATCATGAAGAATTTATTAAAATGGAGTATATTTCAAAGACTCAACTATACCCTTCCACTCCATTCTTACTTTAGAGAAGCTTTTTAAGCAAACCTTGTGCAAGACATAAAGCAATCTAAATCTTATCAGTATCTTAAATAATCCTTCAAGATAGAGTATATATTGTAGACTCAAATATGCCTTTTCACTCCATTTTTCCTTGAGGTAAGCTTTCCAAGCAAACCCTTTTTGAGACACAGAGCAACTTAAATCCCCATCAACATTTTAAAAAATCTCTTAAAATTGAGTGTATCACTTAAACTCAATTATGCCCTTTCACTCTATTCTTCCTCTAGGTATACTTCCTAAATAAACCCTTTCATGAGATAAAATAACCTAAATTACATTAATATCTTAAAGAATTTCTTAGGATGGAGGATTTTGCTAGCTCAACTATAACTTTCTACTCCATTATTATTTAGGTAAGCTCTCTAAATAAATACTTTTCAAGATGTAAAATAGCCTAAAATGTTATTAACATCTTCAAGAATGTCTCAAGATATTATAGACTCAATTGTGCTTTTTCATTTAATTCTTCTTTGAGAAAGACTTTCTAAGAAAATACTTTTCAAAATATAGAATAACATAAATTATTATGGACATCTCTAAGAATCCACGAGGATGAAGTGCATACATTAAACTTAACTGTATCCTTCTATACCATTCTTCCTCTAGGTAAGCCTTCTCCTAAACTAACTCTTTGTAGGATACAAAGCAACCTAGATGTAATTAACACCAACCTAAATTACCATTAGCATCTCAAAGAATCTATAAGAAGTGCATATTACAAACTCAGTCATACACTTCGAACTCTATTCTTCCTTCTTTCTTCCTCATAAGCTTTTTAAGCAAACCCTTTTTAGAATATAAAATAACCTAAATTATCATCAATATTTTTAATAATCACTGAGGATGGAGTGTGTCAAGTTGATTTAACCGTGACCTTTTACTCCATTCTTCTATGGCAAGCTCTTTAGGAAAACATATTCTAGGAAGCACAACAACCTAAATTATCATCAATATATCAAAGATAGAGTATCATATGGACTCAATTATGTCCTTCTCTATCCTTCATCTAGATAAGCCTCATAAGCAAATCCTTTTAAAAATACATAGCATCCTAAATCATCATTAACATCTTGAAGAATCTTAGTGTGTAGAGTAGACTTAATTATACTTGTTTACTTCATTTTTCCTCAAAGTATAGTGTGTTTTTAAGAATCTTATTTTTTTCTAGAAAAAAAGTGATGTGTCAAAATGTGAGCAATTAAGACATGCTATAAAGTATCATTAGAGGCTTCGCTTCAGCTCAAACTCGAAGCAATTGTGTAAATACAACCTCTAGTAACTTGAATATTGATGATTATAACATTATGATATTTATGTTGATTTTTTTTTAATTACATCATCATCATCAATAGTTCTTAAGGGTCTATTGTCACTCCTTAGGACCACATAAGGGTCATCATTGCCCATGGGAATACATGAAGGAATTGATGAATGACATCTCTATTATTTGCCTCGAACACTTTCATCATTAATACTCTTTTGTCTTGAACACTTTTATTTAAAATCATCTAATATCACTATTATCATGTTAGTACTTCTCCATATCTTTTATCTTGATTGGTCTTGAAGATCTCTTTTGCCTAACACTTTCATTTAGTTTGAAATTTTCTCTAGCTTTATGATCAACAATGAAATTATGAATCGCCCTCATGTCCACAATTGCATAAATCGTTCAACCATTAAGTTTAATATTTATATCCATTAGCCAATTACTTCCTATTTTAAGTTGCTTTTATTTAACCCTACAATGCATTCAATAAGTGCATTGCTCTCATCTAGAAATCTAGAATTCTTCATTCAAAACTACTCAAACTAAGAACAACAATCTTATACTTGCAATGCATTACTTCTCATTCTGAGTGGCCAACCTTGGTAGTGCTCTTTCATGTTTGCTTAAATGAGATCGAAGCACACTTCAACATTTGTAACCCTCTCACGTCAACACTTCCATGCTTGGCAGAGCATTTCTTATAACTTTAGCCCAATCAACACTCCCCCTCCATTTAAGGAGAGTTGCCTACTTCAAGATAACCCTCTTCACTATTATGCTTATCTTGAGCATCTCCTCCCACGAGTTTATAGAAAAATTCTCTTTATTCATTTTCCCATCATCTTAAAGAAAATTTTCTAGTTTATTAACTAGAACGAAGATCAAATTTGACTTGATTGAAAGAATATCTTTAACAGATTCTGATCTTAATCTTGAATTCCCTAAAAACATGTCTTCCGAGTATTCATTAATTTTTTCTTGTTTTCCAGAACTCACTGCCAGTGAGATTTGGTACATCCTTTAAATTTTTTTACTACAAGTGCTTGAAAAATTTTATGTTCTTTTAAATGGAGTATTGGAAATAACATAAATCATGCCACATTTTGTAACATTTTCTCTTGTGTAGTTATTCTTAGGGGGGGGTTTGAGGTTTGGGGTTTAGGGTTGAGGGTTTGGGATTTCACCGGCTAAAAAATTCTAGCTTCCGATTATACTTCAACCAAGTATAAACTATAACCACTCTTAACTAGCTAAAAAATGTCTTATTCACGTACCTCGCACCATCATTATTCCCTATAATTGATTCACTTCACTTCATAAGAATTAACAGGAATGTTAAGAGAGCTTGTCATCTTCATTCTCTTCCACCATTTTTTTTTTTTGCATGAAATAAAATCCTTTGTCTCTATTTTATGTGACAATGCAAGCCAAGAAAACCAAAAAACAAATGTTGGAATAAATTTGTTGGAATAGAATGATGTTGTTTAACTTTATAAGATGACAACGCAATCAATGTAGCAAGATGAAACAATGAAATAGCAAAGATAAATGATATTATCTACTCGTATGACGTGACTAAAAAGATGAACGAGCATTCAGTAAAAAGATAATGATATACCGTATTAACATTAACGATTTTAGACTGTGTGACAATCAATAGTCTTTGGTCAGTGTTGATGATTCTGCAGCAATTAGTCTGCAAATCTGTACATGAAAGCAACTAAATGCTGCTCAAAGGAAGTCAATGTCAAAGCAAGCATGAGGTAAGCAACCAATGCCCTTCAGAAATCTGAGATTGCAGATTACATGCTTACATATATATGAGCCAAATGATAGCCACGGAACATACATCGGTGAAAGGAATTATTACTATAGGTTTAGTAAACATAGATCGAAAGAGCCAATGGGCTCAGAAATCTTATGTGAAGCAATGAACTGATAGCTAAGCTCCCTCGGTGGCCGCTCGAGTCATTAGCCTTCTTTGCAGCAATGCTGTTTGGCTTCCTCCTCGACATGGCATCATCCACGCTGGACTCCGCCCGTCTGCAAGATAACTTATATTATCTGTTCTTTACGTGAGGTTGTAAAACCATTAACATTTCCCAAGGAGTGTCATGACATGCATATAATGTGACTGCAGCATAAACAAAGAGAAAGCCAACTTACATGATCTCTGGTTCTGTTTAGTTCAAATACAGGAAGCCGATCCCCTAAAATCACCGTTATCTTCCTAAAGAACTCATCATCAGTTGACGCAAAGGCCTGTGAAACAGCCATGGAACCAGAAAAATCAATGGAACAAGCACAATGGATGATCCAAAGAAGCTACATCAAACACAAATGTTCTGCTACCGACGTACCTGGAACTCAAGATGATGGCGGTAGAGCAACTCCTTGTCTATCGGAGAAATGTGGTTTTGCACCATAGCGTACACCACAGTATACAGCAACGGGTGTGCCACATCTGGAAGTGCCACGTACATTTCTCTCTGAAATAGACGGTCAATGATGTAATAATTAGGGCGGCTTAAAACTCACCGACCGAAGCATTCATATCGACAGTACCAGCAGAGGAGAGAAGGTCGGGACGCTCACAGGACCAGTGAGCCGATTGAAATCTGGAATGTTTCTTATCGGATACTTGTCAAAGCGGACATCCCTTAGATCAAAGAAGTACGCTGCCACAAGCAAGAACGAAGATCTCATTCAAAGAAGATGATCTAATGTCTTGGGTTCTGATCATCACATACCTTGGAGATTCGGTGGCAACTTGAAAGCGACAACATATTTAGGAAGAATAAGAGTACGACTATTTGCATGTCGAGCCCATACCACGTAACACCTGGGTTCAGCATGGTTGTCCACCCCAGAATCATACTTATCGCTGCTGGGTGAGTTTTGCTTGGAACCAGGCCAGACTAGTTCCTCCTTTCCCAAGATGACTTGGCATAGCAGCATGCACTGTACTCCGTTCTGGTCAGCACCACAAAGATTGACGCTGCAGAAGTTTTCGAAAGAGCCAAATCACACAGTTGTATCGAAGCAAGAAGCAGCAGTAGTTACTATCCACCCAAAACAAAGAACCTGGAGAAGGAACGCCCGCATGGCGTAAGGTAGATGCCGCTGCCGAAAGCTGCTCCTGCGGTGGGTGCGACCGCCGACCCAAATCCATGGGCCAGAATTCTGAAGATTTCCTGCGTCGTTGATCCAAACCATGCGTCCCTGACATTTGCATCCCCACGCTTCTCTATCCTGGATCTCAGCTGACTCTCAAATGCATGGTGTTGCACTAGAGCGGAAGTATCTTTTGGAACATACTCGAGTATGCACACTACATTCTCGGGTTTAACAAAGGATGGCATCCCCGAAAGGAAAATTTTCCGTATGAGGACGAAGGTTGAACTGTCCCTCTGCAGATTGTGTACGTTAGCCTCCGGGGCAGGAGGGGGCGGAACAGAAGACGCCTGTGGCCTGACCACACCAGAAACCTGCTCACTGGGTTCATCGGCTCCCTCGTCGAATGATTGGCTAGGGAAGAAGCATCGATCGGCCTCGTCGATCCATGCCACGGAGTTACGTTTCTTTGTCGTCAAGTTCGACATGACCATGCATAATAGGTCAACAAGCACTAGCTCGCAACCAAACAAGGCGTACATACAGGGCATCTGGTGGCGGCATCCGTTGATGATCACCTTCCTCTCCGACTCGGGAAAATCCGTCCACTCGCCACGCTTGTAGTACAGGATGCGGCGGGGCAACCCGCTCTTTAAATAGTTGACGCAACTCTGCTCGTCGGGCTTCCCATGCCAACAGGTGAGGTTGCTGACAGATGCACGTCTTGGATCCATCGCAAACACAAGCTAGAGAACGAGAAAGGAAAGCAAATCCCTGCATTGTGAAACCCCGAAGGCCGAACAAACCTCATTGACCATGAAAAGACTAAATACAATTCAGAAAGAAAAGAAGAAAAGCTTTTATCACCCAAGGAACAACAATGGTGACCTTAGACAAATCAAGGAAGAACACCTTCTCTTTGATCCTCTCGAGCTTCCGATGCTTGCGTTGGCCTTGGAGAGGAGACTAAGGAGGGTATATAAAGGAGTTGGAGAGGGGAGGGTTTGGAAAATTGTAGTACCCAAATGGAAGGGAAATGCACTTAGTAATAATGAACTCAGTTATCTGCCAATTTAAGAGGATAACTTTTCTTATGGACCATAAAATCTCTATGCTTGAAATCATGAAGAAGATACCACAATTTTTTGGATTTAATTCAAATATAAAATGACAAAAAGAGTCAATCTTTTTATGTAAGTTGAGTGGATCTATCTATTTTAGTTATGTATTCTATTTAAGATTATATTCTATAATCAATTATGGTATAGATTAGGCAACTACAAGAAAGAAAGAATACATGCATATTACTTCAATAATGATAATAGAAATTTGATGTGCATAAATAAAAGTCATCAATTATTTGTATTAATTTTCTACCACGCAGCGGTGATATCAATAAAGTAAATGGACGCATTTTAATTATTTGTGTAATTATTATTTTTTATTTTGATTTTTCAAGCATAGTGTTAAAACAAGAGAAAGTCTAAATGCATAGCTTATGATTTCCATAAGATAATCACTATAAAAAATCCATAATAAAAACAACATTTTGAATGTTTTTTACAAGTTCTAAAATAGACTTTTTAGATTATTTTATTTGCTAGGCTTGGTTTGATTTGGTTCGATCAAATTTTAACCGGTTTGAAATCAATCCATCTTTAAACTTTTCAGTTGGATAACTTAAAAGTCTGAGAAATAAATTTTATATTTTAATATAAGAATATTATAATTTTATAAAAATCCAAAATACATATCAACATAAAATTCATATATTTTTAGTTTAAAAAAATCAATTACAATATTATTTGTGCAATATATAAACATGGAATATTTTAAAATATCAAACGGACCATAAAATAAATTATTTTTATAATTTAAAATAATGTTTAGACTATAAATACATAGTTATATTTTATTATATATTTTAATATAACCAAAACTATTCAAATATTTATACATTTATATATATTTTTTAATACGATACATCAATTTTATGCCTTCCAAAATATATTTCATTTTTTTATAAATCTTAAAAGATTTTTTCCATTTCATATAATTATAGTTTTAATTTTTTTTGTTAATTTGGTTAGGTTTAATTCATTGCATCAATTCTTAATACATTGATCCTTTTTTTGTTTGAGAAATCCATCCTGCCTTGAATAAAATATATATACAATAAAATTAATAAAATAACAAACAATAATTAAGATGAAAAGCCAAAGTGAGATAGCAAAATTTGGAAAGGTCTTTATCAGTTTCCTACTCAAGATGTCTTCTTTCATGTGTTCTTCTTTCCTATGCAAGTGGAAGGCATATTCTATGCAGGATGGATAACCTGCATGCATGGTAAAATTACAAAGGAGTCTCTCCAACACTATCCATCCACTCCACTTCTATTTTTGTCTCAACCACCTACTTATTTTGCATATGATAAACTTCAAGTGATTCAAATGAGTAGATGGGTTAAGATGAAGGTTCCAAGAATAACCAAGGTTTCTGATAGGTACCTTATCACTTTCATATTTGTAGGGTGTCCTCTTTTGCAATACAAAAATCTATGGAGCATTACTTGGAGAGAAGGTAGGGTTCTGATAGATAGGTGCCTTATCACTCACATATTTGTAAGGTTTCCTCTTTCCAATACAAAAATCTGTAGAGCATTACTCACATATTTTAAATCATAGCAATGTTGTATCAGAGACATTGCCAAAGTTCACAAAATGATACCTACACTAATTTTGCCTGTCCTGACTAGCAGATTAAAATTTGCTAACCTTTCTGATTTTGTGAATTGTGTTCTTCCTGTTATTTCGGGTGAACGGATCATTAGCAATCAAGTATGATAATATACATATAAAATGAAGACAGTGGCATCAAAACAGTATTGGCCAGCAACAACTGAAACCTAGCATCGAAATACCAATGGATATAACTGATCTAAACATCTCTACATGATAAACAAACCTCAATTGATCCTCGCACTATACAGCGCAAATTCAGTCTACTCCAACGAGAAGTAATTAGACTTAAAATGCAGCATCAGCTTGGGTAACTCTGCTGTGTTTGTTTTGGCCTCTCCTGCGGCGACCCCTGTGGTCTCCAAGTTTCACACCATCCCGTCCGTAGAACAATCTTGCTTCGATCTGATCGGCATTGCACTCGGGTGGAGGGATCGGGTACCGGTCACGGTCATAGCAATAATAATAGGTCATATGTCTCCTACGAAATCGATCCATAAGAGCTTGTTGCTCCAGTGACATTGTCAATGAATCAGAGATGGCAGTGTCAGGCTTCTCACAATCTGAAGAATGATCCATGGGGTTCACTGCACAACCACCGATGATAAGATCTTCAAATTCAGCAACATACGGTGCATACTTATAATTGACTTTGTAGCGACCGCCTGATGTAGCCCAGGTAGAACCATCCCAAATGGTGGCATAGAGGGTCATTGGCTTGGATGGGAAGCACCCACCAATGGCCCCAGTCCTCACTATTTCCCTGATTGGAATGTTATCAATGGAGAATCTGCACAATAAGATGAAGTTAAGTAAAATGATACATAAGCCTGGCAGCACTAAATCTAGAAAACCATGTATGCATCATTTGTTATGTGGCTTTTGTTTCGTTATAGTGCTTTGCAATAGTTGAACTTTATCAAAAGAGAGTCAAAGGAAATGAATGCTGGTCGATGCGTTCGGAACTTCAAGCACTATTCATGTCAAGGAAGAATAAGATTATAAAATGAGCAAGAAACCTAACACAAAACTGATAGGGAGAATATCAAATTCAAGGAATAGTAGCAAAATGATCATTGGAACTTCCTTTAAAATTTAATACCTTTCTACTAAACATTTAGTCCAAAGAAAAATGAAAAGACTACACTTAAGTATATAAAATGATAAATATTACCAAGTGGACAATTTCACCAACATTTTCAACATCAAAACTTTCAAAAACAATGTTTTCTTTGAATATCAGGAAACAAACAATACACTGAATCACCAAGGAGAAAAGAGATTAATCATATTCGAAATGACCAAACAATTTATAGTTTTTCTTTCTCTTCTTGTATAAACTTGTAATCTTCCAACTATCAGGACTTACATGATCCTTTCGTGGTTCCATATGATGGAGTACTGATGGAAATCCTCAGTTGGGTCGAACCAGAGATCATATCTCTCTTCCCTTCCGACAGCTGTGCTACCATTTCCATAGACATTGGTCTGAACTCTCCACTCCCTCCCTCTTATGTTTCCCAAGAACTCAAAGTCCAATTCATCATGGGTCTTCGCATATACATCCCCATTCGACATCTGCAGCTCAAGAAAATAAAATGGGAAATGCTAACCAAATTTTGTATCATCAAGACCATTCGTAGAGATTAAACCAAGAAGACAGAAGAAACAGTCGAAATAATCGCAGAAGCCTTGGCCTCCAGCACCTAAGGCAAAGGCTAAATGCTAATTATCACGTCAGAAGGTAAATAAGTTGTTTGTATGTTTATTATAATATATGGCAGAATCAAACGTCTACTGCAAGGTTCTGAAATAAAAACAATTTATGTATACTCGTTCAAATAAGAACCCCAGATGAGTGGCTAAGAGCAAAAGATAGCAGAATTTGTAGCGCAACATAATAGTCTAATTGGAAGTCCAATGCAAAAACGTATGCCTATGACCAATTGAAGATTACCGAAAGCTGACCAAAAAGAAGGGAAGCAAAATCACATAGGCTATTCAGATTAGTGTGATGGATCAAACAAAAAACATTTGCATCTTTGGTGACAAATACATATCGTAGCATAACACAGGATATCATAGAAGACTACGTATGCACAAATGAGCCAAACAAAGATTATACTGATGAGAAGCCTATGTGGAGAAGCATACGTAGAAGGCGACAACGACGCCGGCGGCGTAATCGGAAGGAAGCTTGATGGAGGCGCTGAAGAAGCCATGGAGATATAGGTCCTGGGACGCGAATCCAGCACCTGAGGCGTTCACAAAGCGGCCACATTTTCATCATGTAACATGAGGAAAAGATCAAAAGGTGCGATTTTGAAGAAACGGAGAGGTAGGAAGACCTGTTCGCTCGTCGAGGGAGATGTGAACCCGCTTCCCGTCGCGGAGCAACATCAGATTGCCATCGCCGAAGAGTTGGGTGTACCCCTGTTCGAACGACAGAGTCGGAAGGCTATGCGTAACACCAGCAGACGCATCGGACAAGAACAAGGACAGGGGAGAGCAGGCAAAGAAGCAGAGGAAGAAGAAAGCTGAAGGAAACAAAGAGCTCAACATCTCTCTGCTTACTCCCCTGTGGGTTAGTTCAAATAAAAAGAGGAAAAGAGCCTCCTTTCTTTGCCCTCTCTGTTCTCTAAAGAGAAGAAGAGAGGAAGAAAGGGATGGGAGTGGAAAGGGGAAGCAAAGATTGGCTTTTAATAGCGCAGGGAGCAACCCGTTCACGACTTCTCAGTGCTGCTCTTCGGATGCTTGCAAGAAGGTTTCGTTGAAACAATAATCATAACAAAATAAATGAAATATTTGGTGAAAAATGTTATCTTTATTTAGTGGAACCATTGAGATTCACTCCTTGTTTGACAAACAAACACACACCCTCTCAGTTTGTCCTTTATCATTTCTTTGATGTTCTTCTACCTTGATGTCACCGAACAGCAAACACAGCAATGTGGATATCTGATTCCAGTTCTGCATAGCTCATTCCATCCCCACATGGGATATCATGCAACTCCCAAGAATATATGGGGCCCTGTCTCCCTCACAGATGAGCTGTGATAAGTGGCTGCAGCTGAAGCAATCATTTCCTGCAAGTTTTCTCTTTTACTTTCTTTCTTGGCAGCAGCATGGTAAGATTAGATCAACCTAATTAAGCCCAGTGGACAGAGAATGCTCATGTGTTTTACTATCCGTGAAAATGATGAATAGACGTTGAGAACATGTAAAAGAACAAAAGAGAAGAGAATATGTCTGTTCTAATTTAGCTATTTATTTCACTTGCTAAAATGTTAACGATAACATTTAATGGCCTAATGATACAACATCTAACATCTACATTTGACCAAGTCTGTTCTCTCTCTCTCTCTCTCTCTCTCTCAATCGTTTCTGCTAGCAAATGCTAAATCCTAATGCACCTAAGTAGATGCAACAAATTGAAGCGCAAGCAATTTTTGAACCGATGCATCTGAGGAGAAAAAGCAAGAGAGAAGAACAGAAAGACAAAAGGAACAGCTAGTGAGTGGTCAGATTGAACAAATGAGGTATGAAAGCTGAGATGCCCCTCTCAAGTCGTGAGAACTGTGCAATGCCATGGAACACATGGCCATGATGCAGCAAAAGTAAAGGTGCTTTGGTCCAATTTTTTCAGTGACCGAGCGCAGAAAACAAACAAAAGAAAAAGAGACAAGGCTGGCATCATGTCCTGTGAATTATTAGGGAGGGTCAAACAATCGAGCCAAAGCGGGACAGATCCCTTTGTCACCGAGAGGGTGATGAGCTTGCAAGCACTTCACCGGTTCCTAGGTCATCGGTTTGGCTTGAACGAAATGATAGCTCACGTCCAAGGGGCGAGAACGATGTAAAGATACACAGTTGGAAGAGAAAGGAAAAGAAGGAAATATAGCGAAGCCAAGCTCATGATGTCTATTAAATGGGTTGGTAGTATGTCCTTGAGGCATCAAATGAGTGAGTATGATGATGAAGAAGATACAACCAGTTTCTTATTAGGGGCATCAATTGAGTAGAGAGAAATAAATATATATAACCTTTCTTTCATTGTGTGTGATACTGGTACTTTAGATCACATAAATAATGACAAGGATTTCCCTCCAGTACAAACTATATGAGCATGCACATGCACTTGAGAAGAAGCCTGTTGATAAAAAAGTTTGCATTTTGTATGGTTATCATTATTAGTCTTCAGATATTAAAGATCCTCTGCACATGCCATTTTTCACAAGCTTTGTACATACGAACAAAGGTACCCCCTTATCTACGTGCCTGTGCATCTCTCATGTATTTAAATCTTGTACAGTTCGATTAATATGATCCATCTCTAACCCTAAACCTTATATGTATGTGAGATTAATGCAACTCGGATCACGTTGGAAGCATCCTTGGCTGAGATAAGGCCGAATTGGGGATGAATCAAGATAGCAAACTACTTATGCAAGCCCATCCAATTCAATCAAGTATCCACCTCATAAGCAAACTACTGTTTTGAGATGAGAATATAAATAGAATCAAACAATTTATGTGGTGAAGACGGGATCTATCAACAACTAAGGTCTATCTTAGTACATCAGATGTCATCTTCGCTACTTATCCATTAGTGTTCCCAGACAACGGATGATGTTTTTCTAATATCAATATATGTATCCAATCCGCTTAAGCGAGATCTTCAAGATATTAAGTATGGATTGATACAAGTGAAAATAAATAAATATCTGAGTTAGAATTTCAACTTCGTCAAGTATTTTGATAAATAGTTAATTCCAAGAAAAAAAACATAAAGACAAAATTCAACAGTATCATTATTAATAAGAAGGAAAAATGTAAGATCATCTGCAGTAAAAAAAATTGGTAAAATATTTATGGAGGCCGGCAATTTGTTGATCTCGAGTCCGATCCTTTGCTTCTTTTTTGTTAGGCGTTGGGGACCTCAACATATCGAATGTGATGATTGGGGTTCCATGATGCATCCCTTTGATTGGGGAAAATATCTATTTTACATCATATTAAAATTAATGCCTTATTTATTTTACATCACCTAATTATTTTACATCCCTTTGTGGGAGTAAATGTAACTTGATTCATGCCTGTAATACATTGCATACTTACAAAGCTGTAAGATTGCAACAACAAAATGTATTCGGTGATATGCTTGGATTTGGAGTGTTGGTTTTGACAAAAGAATACTAGGAAATGAATTATATGAATTATTATAGAGATAAATATAACTGATATCTGAGGTGAGCGAATATTGGATGCCTACCCGAGCTAGGTATTGTTCATATCGGTAGTATTGTGATCTGCAACCAGGTACAACTTCTGGTTGTCGGAGATCATGGCTGCATCAGATATGCTGCCTCCATCTTCTGATAGTATGCGTGAGCCTGAGCAATTCAATAGCTCATTTGAGGATTTGATGAGCTCTTCTACGGTGTGAGGGATCCACAGCACTACGCCCTCTCTTCTCTTTTCTTCAGGGTCCCATGGGTGAAAAGGAAACACAGTGCATCTCCTCCGAGGCTGTGTTTTGTCTGAGGAGGAAAGAAAAGAATGTCAATCGGTTAGTCACAGATTATAAATAGTAGATCAGGAATCTTGTGAAATGTAACATTATACTTCGGTCAGGACGACAGTGGTTGAGCATGGTTTTAATCGTCAGCCCGACATCAATATTGACATACCAAAATATTGACCAATATATTGATTTGTACATAATGAAAATAAACTATTCAGCAAGTGGTACCGAGCAATATGATCCGCTATTAATGCTTATTTAAACTGATAAACAACCGATAAACACATATTGGTTCAACAGGTTTAAAATGATAGGTTTATGGGGTATGAGCAATTAAGATGCTGTTGCAAGATGAACAAACAGTAATAAAAAGCATAATTTTGGCGTTAATTATGTATTTTGCCTCAAACAAAAAGTTTGTGACAGAGTAATTTATCCTTAAAAACATTCCTAACTTTGAGAATAAGATCTATGGGAAGTCTTTGGAATATAAAAGCTAGGATGCATATACCTTTAATTTCTTGAGCACACTCAGGAACCATGGATAGCTCATCAGATTTTGCGTTTTCCAGCAGCACCATCATGGATCTGTTTCCACTCTTTACTGCTTCATCTAATGGAGTAGTTCCCCACCTGTAATTTAGCAATTCTTTTTAGGAATATTAGCATGTATAACAATTACTGCCATTAGATTTTTAAAAGAGGAAAAAAAAAGACAGAAGAAAGTTCCAGAATGAATGTGCAATGTCTCCTGACCTGTGTATGACTTTGTGTTTTATCATGGCAAACAATACAAATTTCAGACATTCTCCATTCTTGAAGCATAAATATGGTAATTATCCTGGGAATGAATCAGCAATATCATGGCATACTAAGAGAGTTCCACAAAACATGATAATCCGTTGAATGTCAAGAAGCCTAAGTTCCTAGTTGAACATCAACTATAAAAATGGGCACAGATCAAACAGATTCAGAATAAGTAGAATATCAAGCCAGTACCTGTCAATAGCAAAGACACTTGCCCCAGCCTCTATGAGCATTTTTGCAATTGAATACAATCCCTCGGCAGCAGCTATATGGAGAGGTGTACGTTGATCATAATCTTTTGAGTTTGGATCTATTCCGTACTTTAATACCCTTCTTATAAAATCTGAGTCCCCCCTTGCAACAGCTGTACAAAGATGGCAACCAGGTTCCCCAATATTTAGCCTGGCCCCTTTGCTGAAGAGTAAAGAAGCCACACGATCATGTCCCTGCTTAACGGCTTCTAACAATGGTGTGCTTCCAAATTTATCTGATTGACATGAACATGATATAAGTTATAGAAACATGAAGATATTATAGCATGAAGCAAATTGACTTGTACAAAAGCTCAAAAAAGGTACCTGAAAGATTGACATCTACGCCTTCTTGAAGGAGGAAACAAGTGATATCCTCGTGCCCTCTTGAAGCCGCAAGATGCTGACAGGAAATAGTTTGAGTTAGGTCGTTCATCTTGAAAGCTGAATAAAAATAGGAAGCAATGAATTTGGTACTTTTGACATCTTAGAAGCAGCCAATCATAAGGAATAATTAGTAAGTGTTATGTGTAAAAGGAGTCATATGTCTGATAGTTGAAACATATGATAGATGCTTCTGTTTCTCTAAAAGGTTCCTGATTATAACGCTAGTGATGCATGTTCCAGTTGGTAAAGGCATGCACTTATTTTATAGACCATGATACAAACCTAATGTATATCATGAAAGCAACCTACTTTCAACTTGCATGAGCAAGTTTAGCACAATCGAAGAAGAATTATCTAAAGAATATTTGTATGTGTATATGTGTATTTCAAGGTGATCAAACATAGAGCATAGAAGTAATTAATGACATGAAGCATCATGAATGCAGCCAAGCATTATGGATTTATAATTTATAACTCAGCTGAAAGAGCACTTCTAAATTATTATAAACTAATCAAAGAACTAGAAGATTATACTTTGGCAGAATTTTAAGTTTATGATGTCCTTTTTCCAATGTAACTAACATTTTATTCAATCAAACCTTCTTATTAAGGACCATGGTAAACCGAACATCTAGAGAATCATGCCAGATCTTTTGACCAACAATGAAAGAGAACATGAATGTAGAACTTGATCAGAATCCAAAAGAGAATATTCTGTATGTAATACAAAAGTAAGAATCAGATTTCAAATATTGTCCGCTAATTCCATACCAAAGGTGAACGCCCATCATAATCTGTCTTCTTGGGATCAGCTCCCGCACTGATTAGACCTTTTAGGTAATTCAGATCTCCACCATAAGCAACATTATTAACCCTTAAAGCATGCTCAGCTTCTTGTTTTCCAATATGAAATGTGATATCAGATTCCAGTTGCTTGATATGGCTATTTGACTCATTGCCCTTCCACAATGAAAATTACCATGTTAATGAACAGTTAGATAACATATGAAGGTTCTCAAAAACAATTGTGTTGTCAGCATAACAAAGAGATTCTAACACAATGATGAATGAAAATTTACCTCAAGAAGGTTATTCAAGATTGTCCTAGCATCCACAAAATATATTTCCAGAATATTTGTGAAAAGTTGTTTATCAATACGCAAGACTGTACAAAATTCACGGACACGAACTGTGTAAGGCTGAGGAATGTTGCAAAGAGTGGCAAGTTCTCCAAATGAGCTGTCAGACCCCAATTGTAGAATCGCCTCTTCTAATCCATTTTCAACAAGCTTAATTCCATCCTGGAGTTTGAAAAGTGTGAGAAATAGATGGAGCAATGTCAGCCATTATGCTATCATCTCATTTGGACTTCAGTACCTAACTAAAATATAATAGGTCACGGTAAGAGACCATAGTATACCAAACATCCGAGGTGGAAAATGCATATATGCAAAACATCTATGTGTCAGATTATCCTGGGTGTCATATCATCCAAGTTATGAACACAGGCTAGAACAACAAAGTGCTCATTTTAGCAAATGCTGGTTATGCCACTATTATATCATTTGAGATTCATAGTCCCTTATTACATCCATAGATTGGATTCTGACAGATAAAATCATAAAAGAGATGCATGCTAACTAGATTATGATCATTACCAGAACACCATGCAAGACAAAATACAGTTGATCTACTGTGTTGCCCTGTTCCAATATCACTTCACCTGGAAGGAATGACTCCTCCTGTAGCCTGATTACCTGCCACATCATATCACATTATAAGCTGTTTTTATATTTCAGTGAACTATAGAAATCATCATCTTGGACAAGATAAGAACTAGGCTCAACAAGCTCCATGGTGTAAAAATCACAAGCCCATAACATTATAGGCAAAAAAGGCATTTCAGCTCAGAAGAAGATTTCTCAGAACAAGAAGCAAAATCTCCTTAAATTTTTGGCAATAAGATGCACGAAATATTAGTTCAGATGTGCATGCATAGGCACAAGAAAATACAGAGGATAATTGAGAAAACTCCAGAATGTTTCATAACACTAATTTAATTTATGGTTCACCTTCAATATGAATGGAATCTTTGCTGATAGCTGACCATGCACAGGCATGAGAAAATACAGGAGATAATTAAGAAAGCTTCAAAATGTTCATGACACTCCTATAAAGATCTATGGTCCAGCTTCATTATAAGTATAACTATGGTATATATTAAGCTAATAGTAATTTAAGCCCATATCGAGTAATACAACCTGATGCCTACAAGAACAGATAATGAAATTTGGTACAAATTCAACGAGAGATTTAGGTTTTTGTTTTTGTCTTGGAGGAGTTTAAAACAAAAAACTGGAAACAAAAGGCTCTTTACATCCAGGCCTAAAATGTATGAATCTATATAGATAAAAAATGACTAGAGCTTAAGTTTGTTATGCATGTGATGCAGGAGTTCAACAAGAAAAAAAAAGCTCTTTATATCCAAATTTCTTGATGAGCAAAGGTGATTGGCAAATTTGATTTAAGCAATAATTTATAGGACACCTTATAAAGTTATCAGATTTCATCAATTTGCTTCAGTTTAAACATTTGCTTTAATTCAATGATTTTTCGATGTTGCATGGGCATTTATCTATTTTCATGAGTATGAAAGCACAAGAAATACGCATGCCTAGGTGAGGTGGTCCAGCTGTTAACTGTTGTTGCAAGCATAAAACCAGAATACCACCTGATAACAAATACAGCAAACATATAACTTGAAGCACCAAGAAAATTATCATAATTTCGAACGCAGCTATATCACAGGATATTAACATAACAGACAAAGTAACATAGTAATGCAAATACATATGTGTGTGTGTGTATATATATATATATATATATATAAAAGCATTAATTAGTTTAAAATCTGTCAATCAATCTAGTGCAGCTGTCTGTCGGACATTAGTTTAGAACTACTTCAACCATGATAGTGCCTAGAAATTTTGAATGCTAATGCAAGTAATTGAAATTTGAAAGAAACTAGAAAATAAAACTAAAACTGCAAAGGCTAAGTTGAAACAAGTAATGGCGAACTTAACAAATAACATAGTCTTCCTCAATTTTATCACAAAATGAATGTACTAGATAACAAAAATCATCCAACTGTAATAATGGAGCCATGTTAATATAATGATAACAAAGAAAAAAAGGAAGCTCAGATGTCAGATGTACTAATAAGTTACAAATACACATGAGAATTTTACTTGAGTTGTAGCACTAGCTCTGTAAGGTAGTAAAGATGTAATAAAATGACAAACTATCATGAAAACAATAAATCAAGTTTATTATGAATCTCATTTGGCAAGGGATCTATCATAACACTGGTTACCTTATCCTTGATCTAGTAGAGAGTATTAATCATTTCATAAGGAAATTTGAGCCTTCATAAATCTTCAGAAAGTGATATAAAATGAGCTTCTAAGCATCTTCTTCCTTCACAAAATACTATTTCACAATCTATCAGCTAGAGCATGCTTAGATTTTTGAGATGGTGCACCCTTGTTAAGCCTGTGATGGTACAGTAGGTTTATAGAAGCTCTTTTCACAAACATCATACAAGCTAAATTAATAACATAACTGTCAACATGGTTTCAAGTAAGATACAGCTGCATGATTGAGGTTGCTGTAGAGGAGTTCCCAAAATGTCAAGGTTTTTAAGAATGTATCTGCCTTGACGGAAATCGTTAAGATCACTTTATTGCTATATTTTTATTTCTCTATGTTGGCCACCTTGAATAGCAGCTAAATGCACTGAGGTTCTCATTGAAGCTGGTTTTGGAAGGGTGAGTTTTAAGTCTTACCCCTGCACATGAGGAGATGAATTTCAAGATTTAGATCCATAATGCCTAGTTTACAGTGGGAAAACCCTGTATTGTGGCCCACCTTGTACATGTAAGCAGCCTTACAGGTAATTTCTTAATACCATGTTATTCTCCAACAGTTCATGAAATCATAAATAAATCAACCTATAAATCAATCATAAATTATAATCTAACTTTAAGTTTCGTTTATAACTAATTTTTCAGAAAGGCCGAACTAAAATATCCTGGGATCATGAAGGCAACATGAACATTTTGGATGATAAGAGAGCACTCGGTATTTGCATGAATGAAGCATTCAAAGAGTAGAATTTCATCTCTTGAAAGCCTTGCTTAACATAAAGTCCAACATAATGTAGATAAACTTAGCTTATTTATATAAATTATTTAACAAATAAGTAGGGGAGGCTTACAATCTGATTTTTGAACTCGGCTGAGCATCCCTTGAACAGCGGAAGTTTTTCGATATAAGGTTTATATAAAGCTTGAAAAATCTGCAAAATAAAGTCCAAAGTTGTTACCAAAGATCAGATTATAGAAAACATTGTCAACAATGCACATGATAATATGAACACAGTACTGTGACCATGCAACTCAACAAAAGTTAGTATGCTAGAAACTTTTCCTACACTCAATAGCTCTGTGCATCATCTGTAGAACTGAAAGTCTGAAACTACAAGTAGCACTCAATAAAGTAAAAAACTGAAACAAGACAAAATGGAAACCATATGAAGTGTCTTGCATAACTGTTCTATTTAGTATCCAGTATGGTCCTGGGACCCTTGTTATACACACCTTAGCACGAATTGAGGCTGGAATATCTTGGAGAACTGAAGCTTCATTGTAGATGTTCTCATACTGCAATCGTACATGTCTTTTAATCTGGTCACGTATGTCCTTTCCTAATCTGTTTTTATTCATGTATTTAATCAGATCTTTCATTTTGTCTCTGTATCTTTCTGTCTTTGATCCTTTCACAATCAGCGCAGTCATATTACCAAGAAGGTATGCTCCCAGAATCATATCGAAGGAGACATAGATCATGATAAATACCATTTCTCTGGGATTGACTGCATGTACATCTCCATAACCTGTTGCCACCAAAATACCGAAATGACTGATTCACAAAAGAAAGAAGAAAAATAATAATAAAACATGAAAACGATGAAGAGTTTGTGAGATAGATCACTATGTAATAATGACATTAAATGTAGATGATCCTTCAAGAAAGTTGGAAATTGTACCGGGAAAACATATATGGTTAAAACTTAAAAGAAATATGATGGTCAACACAACTATCACATATATTTGAATGTCTTATATGTAACACTTATCTAACATTTCTCATGCAGATTCCAAATGGCATTAAAACTTTGCTTTTTTTCTTCTCAAGTAAAAATATCCAGAATGGCAGAGTACGTTTAGAAATTAGCCTAGAACAATGTAAGGATAATCTGATATTCTTTTTTTTTTAATCCAGACAGGTTTGCCTACTAAAGTCCAGTGTAGTCATAGCAGAATAAATTTGCTATCCTAGTCATTTGAAGTTTTCACTAACTTCTCTTTCAAAAAACTGTCCTGAATGTCCTTAGTAGCATCAACCTAACAAGTTTCCATCTTTTTTTTTTATTAAAGATTTATTACCTTCTTGACTAATCAGTTCGTCCTTTTTTATTTGGGCTCGTGGATCTTTCCAGTTACTAGATTCCAGTTTTTAGAACATTGCCAATTATTTGAAGCAACCATCACTAAGCCTTTTCTAACTTACTCATTTCAGTTTCAAAAGAATGATCTTTTGCTGTCTGGCTCTCTATATTTTTGTCATATGCATAAACTGAACTGAATCATCTTTTGATATGTGTTCAGCTGTAAAGAACATGTTAGGCTTTGAAGTCTAAAGTAAGTTCTGCAACCATCTACTGAATGAATTGTAAAAACTTGTGTCTTATGTGAAGCTCAAGAATCAGCCTGCAATGAAGTCCTTTCTTATTTTGTCATAAGTTGTATAAATTGCAACCAGCAATTTTCTAAGTTCAATTAGATTTAACATCTAAATTCAACTAAGCGAGAAAAGCCTGATGTCTGTTCAACACTTGCTGCTCTATATTTTAACGTGAAAGGCATAATAGAAAGGACTAAGACCATAGAAGAGTGCCACTTTTAGTATTAGTGGAACACTTACTTTCCTAATTATATTTCAAAATCTCAAAGAAAATTTACCAACAGTTGCCATAGTTACAATGGCAAAATATAATGATGTTACGTAGCGCCTCCAAAGATCAATCTCTCTGAAATGTGAGTAGTTGAAATCACCCAGTTGTAAGCTTCCTATCCATGTATACCCTTCCATCGACTCAGGCAGAGTTGTTGCCAAGTAATAGAAAATACAGGCAGCTGTATGCGTACAATAGAGCTCAACAACTAGAAGTTTGACAATTCTTGTGAACAAGTAATTGATGCGAATGTCCTTCTCCATCTTCTGAAAAAAATCCGTGACTCTGCATGCCCGGGTTAATCGGATCCACAGTAGATATCTTATTATTTCTTTATTTCCAAAAGCCTGTATGAGAAAATCAAAAATATGTCAAAAAATTGAGTGACCTTTTTCAGTATATATGCTAGATAACAAATAAAAAATAGGAGTTAAAACAAATAAAAGTAGAGTTAATACAATTAGGAATTGTTTCATGTGAAATCTTCTTTCACTGGGTCAATGTCTTGTACAGTAATGAAATTTGTTCACTTTTTATTTTGTTCTTGATGACACTCATATTTAGTAGCTTGATGATTGGGATCTGGACAATTAGATCCATTGACTTTATCTAAATAATTTTAATCTGATCCAACTCAAGCTAACCAGATTTTATTCACTATAATTTGATAAAAAAATAATTTAAATAATTCATAAAATTAATGATTAAATCCTAAATCATTCAAAATGAATTTAAAAAATGACACTGTATTTATTTTTTTAGTGGCTATTTTGTTTTCAATAGTCGAAACCTTGGTATGCAGTACCGAATGGTACCGCTCGGTACCGCTACAGTGCTATAGTATTACACTGTAGCAATGCTACAGTTCTACAGTATTATACTGTAGCAGTGCTACAGTGATATAGTAATAGAAAAAAAATATAAAATTATTCGGTACATCCTGGTGTACCGCTCGGTATACCGGTACCATACCGTACCGAGCCAACCTCGAAACACCGGTACGATACGGTATTACATACCTTGATCCAAACCTCAATGTCCATATGAAAATGTGTGAAATTATGGAACTTTGAAGTTCCTAACTCCTATAATTGAATTTATGTATATACACGTAAATTAATTCTTTGTTCATCTTTGCCGAATGTCAAAGCTCTTCCTGAAATTATAAGTTTCACGTGGCTGAAATATTCCTGAATGATGATCATGTGATTGTGTTCCATATCGAGAATAAAACAACTAGAAACTCCAAAACTGATGGACACCTGTAGGGGTCCAAAGATACTCTTATTAAAGCTACAACAAAAAGTAATTATCCGGATGCATATTTTCTTAAGGAAATTCCTCAAATATCTTCATACAAGAATATAACCTAACACATCCTCATACAATAGATTGTGTTGGAAATTTTGATTTAAAATCATCCAGTATTTTCTTAGACCAAAAATACAGGCATGAGTAAATTAGGAGCATACCTTGTGGATATAATCCCACGGGAAGCAACCGAGCAAGTCAAAAACAAATCTCGACTTCACGTACCTGAAGCATATATTGAGTGAAAATGGAATCTCAGATGAAAAGCATTGCCAAAGTAAACTATAATTGTAAGGCGCAAGGGCAAGAACGGATTATAGGCGAACCGGAAGGCGATGTCGGTTGGAGATTGAACGATGCGGTACGTGTGGGAATCGCGGTAGGCGACGCGGAACTGCACGAAGATATCGATGAAGAAGGCAAACTGTCCCGCGATGTCGAGGAGAAAGAGTTTCTTCGGGAGCCCCCTGAAGAAGGCGAATTCCATGGGCGTGAAGAAGGACGAGTACACCGCCCAGAGCAGTATGAACTGGGTCCATAACTGGTACCACCTGCATCACATCGTCCGTCAGTCCCTCACCGCGAGTTACCGTAACACCATCACGGGCTTAACGGCTTAAGCACGTGTCGGTGTCTTAAGTCGTAACACGGACATGAAGCGTTTGTGTCGGTGGCGAGCACTGGACGCGCGGTAGAGACCCGACCATGATGCTGTTCGCTGCACCCTGTCGCGGCCAAGTCAGGTGAAAGCTGTCATTGCCGCACCCAAGAAACTTATGGCACCCGGCACAGATTTGGCGTCAACAGCTTTGGGCTGGTTGCGTAGACGGGGGGCAGGAGCTGTACACGTAGTGCAGGTAGATAATATTGTTTGTGATCGGCAGGGAACAAACAATAAGGTGCAATGGGCAAAGACGAGGAGACGTGCCACTGAGCCCTTCACATCTGGTCCCATGGAAGGTGGTGTAGAGCAACAAATTATTCCCAACTTTTGTTCGTTTGAATTTTGCCATCCCGATTGAAGAGACTAATTGACGTCTACCCTTTTGCTCTCTTTCTCGCATGACACTTCCTGGCAGGAAAGCCGTTCATTTGTACGTTCTGGGCCCTCTTAGTTTTGCCACTTGAAAGTGATAGCTTTCTTTTTTTGCTTTTTTTTTCCGTGTGTACATGTGGGGGGAAAGACAACTAGTCCTGAAAGCAAATACACCCGTGATTTGCTAGAAAGTGCCCCCTTCGAGTTGGAGTCTCAAAAGCTCTACGAGGGTGTAAATTTCACACATCGATAAGAGTTAAGTAGAAAAAGAGTTTTACTTCAAGATCGAACTCTTGGTGAAGAAATTTAGAATCAGAAAAAATAGTTTTAGTCATCCGAATGCTTTTAAATCTACAATGAACATTAGACTCAATCACGACAATTTACTGAGTTAGTTGGTGCAGTCAAGAAATATCGCAATCATAAAATGGGATAGATTAAACCTTGTATCCATCTCTTCCGTATTTGTCATATCGATAAGGGGGGATACATGTATATAAGGGTTCAGGAGAAAAAAGAGCATCACTTGAAGATCGTGCGAGTTTGACTTGCTCAGTAAACTCACCGACTTCGAATATTATGACCATTATCTTGTGGTTGTTACGTAGTTAATAACGGCCCGATTAACATTTTAATCGAAAAAAAATAAGGAAATTTAGAGAAAAGGGGAGAAAAAACAAACGGAGAGGGGTGATTGGTTACCGGTTATCGGGGTGGATGAGGAAACCCTTGAGAAGCGTCTCGCCGCCGCTGGCGTTCCGGCTGAGCCCGAGGCCGAGGAGCCCAAGCCCGAGGCAGGACCGCAAGAGCGGAAAGCGGCTAGCCGCGTGCGACGACCCCATCCGCTCCTCCAACTCCATCTCGTACTCGATCTCGTCGTCGGTCGCCGCTGCATCATCCGCCTCCCGGGGCGCGATCGCCAACGTCATCGCCCGCCTCCAGCGGACGCGGGCGGTATCCGCCGCCATGGTCGGGTCTGCCACGAGAGCCACGAGAGGAGCACCAGAGTATTCACGGGAAGGAGTCCGCCGTAATGCTTTGGAAGAGGGAGCGAGGGAGGGAGGGGGGATATAGAAGTCGGAGTAAGAAGATGGGGGTAAATTTATAGGCGCGAGATCGCGAAAGCAGAGGAGGCTGTTCGACCAGCGGAGAAAGGTGTTCGTACGGCTGACGAGGTTAAGATTTGTGATGTACCGGCGACTCAGCTGACTCGCCTGTAGGGATCCCTATTCATAGTTCTTAGTTGGTAGAGTCCAATTCACTGGTTAGTTGTGACTATCTAATAATCAAGTCCATCTAAAATAGATTACATGCATACCAGAAACTAATCTTATATTAAAATCGATCATATTAATCTCGTTCTCTGATCTCTAATTTTTATTAGATTTTTTGAAAATTAAATATTTACATATAATCTGATTTTTGAAATCTCACGAGATATTTATTATACATCGATTATTGCATGTCGATAAAACCTCTTTTGCTTTTTCTGTGAATCTAAAAACATCCTTTAAATTTTGTTTCACTGTGAGGAGCTCCTGTGGCCATGGTGGGGTTGAGAGCTCAACGTCGATTCGACTTTGGTGCAGGGAGGAATGAAGAAGAAGACGAAGAAGTATTGTTTCCACGTCAGGAATTGATGCCTCGTTCGATTCCCCAAGAATTTGTCCGTCTTTAGCTGCATGTGCATCAGTTCTTGGGAGGATTCCGCCGCTGTTTTCGTTGGGATGTGCATCGATTCTACGAGTCTATTCGATCATGGGCTGTCGATTCGGTTTGTCTCCCCCGATCATGCTTTGCTTCTAATCAGAATTAAATCCGCCCAAAATTAAAATTAAATCATGTCAACGGTTTAAGGATTCCGAATTAAATTAAAAAAAAATGTCATATTTTTTGATTTCGATTCTTAGAAATTGGAATCGAAACCGACGATTCCATACAGCTAAATAGAATAATAAAATAAATAGATTATATGATATAATTAATAATATTTTAGACTTAAAATTTAATGACCTGGGTTTGAATTGAGTAGTCTAAATTTAATGATTGTGGGTGGGTTTAAACTTATGGATCCAAATTTAGTAAAACTAGAATCAATGATTTTGATATTTTAATCATCTAAAGGTGAAACAAATAACTCTATTTATTCTAATGTCATCAACTGTATTGACGAAAAACACAACATGTGACACCATGTGCTATGCTGGATCGACGTAAAAGTAATAAAAAATAATTTAATAATTTTTTTATTTTAATATATATGAAATATTAAAATTATTTTTTAGTTAATAAAATCGATATAAACTGAATGGATGTTAAAATTACTTTTTTGCCTATTATTTTCACGTGCAATCTAACATGATGTCACATGTTGTATTTTGTATAAGATTATTTATTTTATTTTTAAAATTATAGGGATTTCAATATAAATCTTTTAAACGTAAGGACTGTGATACTGATAAGATTAAAATAAGAGGGTAATATGTAATTAGCCCCCTGTCTTTTTCGCTTAGTAGGAAGTAGAAAATAAGAAATTATAAATTGGGTGATATTTTTAGAAAAATTATTTTTTTTTTCTTATGTCTCGTCTGGATGGTACACTAGTCTCCGAATGTTTTCATATTAGAAAACATAATTGATTTTTTTTTATCAATAACTAAATTAGATTATACCATTTTTTTGAAACATTTGGGCTCAACTAAATAATTCTTTTGAGTCGTCTTCTATTAGTGTTTGTGAATCCTTATATTAATATAAATGTTCTATATATCTTATGATTTTATGATATGAAAGGATAAAAAGAATCATATTAAGTGTTTCTAGAATATTCTTTAGTAGGTCTAAAAAGAATGAGTAAAATATTTAAAATGATTCATATTGAAACACTTAATTAGTGATATTCTAGAAACACTTAATCTAAATATTTTTAATTAGTAGTTTGAATATGGATGATAAATGATTCATATTTATAATCTAAATATTGTTCCTAATAGTGGATTTGAATTTGAATTTGAGTAAAATTAGTGGATACCTACTCATTTATCATCCATATTCAAACTACTAAAAACAACAAAAACAAATCTAGTGATATATTGGAGTAGTCAACCCAACCCAACCCAACCCAACCCAACCCGATTTGATATGATCCTTCAATTCGAATTAGTATCCTTACATAATATAGGTTATGAATGTTGATGATCTGTATATGAAGAAATTGAATTACTCATTCCTTGGCATATCAGAAATCTATCTCGGGAGATTTGGAAACTCCATATTGTATTGATTTGTTTTCCTCAAAATACAGATCTCGTTCAAAAAACTTTAAATAAATTAAATACATACATTAAAAGATACATATGATTATTATTCCACAATAATAAAATCACATTTTCATTCATTCTTTCGTGTAGTATGAGATTTCACTTCAAATAGAAATGTGCATCATACAATAATGCATCTCAAACTATTATTATTTTCCAAACATCTCATGTTAATGTACTCGAGTAAGCACACACACACACACACACACACTCTCTCTCTCTCTCTCTCTCTCTCTCTCTCTCTCTCTCTCTCTATACAATAATCTAATAATGCCACCTCACGCTGTCATCATCTCATGCATTCAAGAAACTATTTATCCGATGCCCCATATCAATTTCAATTTTGACGAGGTAAGCTGAAACTTACATTCATATTAGTACATATTTGATAATGATATCTAGTTTCATATTAATTAAAAAAATAAAAAATCAAATAACTCATAAGTTTGTGGATCACAGTTACTCTTACATGTGTCTTTTGAAGTAAATAAACTTTGAAGGATAAAATTACGTGGATACATTTATTGTTCAAAACGAATTATATTGACTTATCAATATTCATTACTAATATTATCAGCTTACTTTATTGATCCTAATTGAGACGTAAAATTTTTGATTAATATATATATATATTTATTTATTTAGAAGCCCTGTTGAGAGCAAGACTTAAATATATGAAAGTAACTTTGAGCTATGAACTGTTGAATTTTAACCCGAAGAAAACAAAAATGAAATGCATTATCATTTTATGGAAGATCATCTAAATTTGCAAGATTTGAGATGATAATTGCAATTTTAATTTTGCATTCAAGATTATCTTGTGATAATGAGGATAATTTTGATTGACTATCAATATTTGATTTAAGGATTGATCAGATTCGGATTTGACATTCCGTAGATCCAATACCACATCTCAAATGAAAATTTTGATAAAAGGAGAATCAAAGATAAGTGTAAAAATTGAATTGCTTGACAAGCTAAAGTGCCAACCATATAACTTATGAAAATGAAATTAAAAAGGTATAAAAAGACTAATAAATATGTAAAGCATAGATTATCTTTAAATAATATATGGGTACTCTCGACAAATTACATATCGAAGTCAATTTCGATCTTCTCATTCTCCCTCATTATTGAAATCTTCTTTTAAAATTTAGATAATATATAATATCCGTTGGATGGAGCTTGACGTGGAGTTTTGACTATTGAAACTTAAGAAAGAAGGTTACACTTGGAAGGACTGACTATGCCTCACAGAGCTCCTTCTCTCTCTTTCTTATTATTTGAATAGTCTTAAGCTCTTTGTTATCGGTAATGAAATTATAGATATCTTCGGGTATATCCATTTTTTGTGAATACCTTTATTTGAGTGAAATTATCCTAATCCTAATATGGGAATGGAATTGTGTGGGCTATTATAATATAAACTTTGTTTGGTTTGATTAAATCAACCCTTATACCATGTCCACTAAACTAATTGACTGAAATTGTGTGAGCTATTATAATATATATTTTTTATTTAATTTGATTAAATCGACCCTTATACCTTTGACAGATGTCCACTAAACTAATTGAATAATAAAGATATCCTCAAGCTGACTTTATTTCCGCAATAGAGTGGTAATCAAAAGTTTTTTTTTTATATATTTTTGACAATCTACATTTGTCATTAAAAATCAAACAAACCATGGTTTAGAAAAGGACCGTAGTACATGTTCATGCATGGATGACTTCAAGAAATCAATTGGACTGATTTTAAGTAGAGACAAGCTAAGCAGGGCAGTAGATTTTTGAATATATTATTCTGGCTATTATATTTGCTCTGTCTGTTCATGCATGCTATTATAGTTGCATGTTTAAAGTATGCAACTTGAACATATATTTCTATATTATCAAATGAAGCGAATATATCATGAGAGAGATTAAAATTTTATGAGAGGCTTTTGGACATTACGGTGGTCTTACTACTATGTTAATATGTGGTTAGGCAAAATATTTACTTAGCACATTCTAATTGTTCGATTAAGATATTAATTCCAAGTCATCTAAGATCCTATTTTATAACTGTCTCAGCATATAGTGATGTTGGATCATAAGATTCTAAGATCTTTCAATTTAGAATCATATGATCCTATAAACCTAAACCTATATTAGGGCAAGGCCAACAAAAACTTAAATTAGCTCTCAAATCAATAATTTTAACTAGATATTAAATCTACGAGCGTAGAATGCACAAAAATAAAAAAAAATAAAAAAAACTTAAAGAACATACATGAGAGATTTTTATAATAAGGTTTAGGATTATTATGCCGAAAGTTGTGGTTGAATATCGAAAACTATTACGTTATGTTCTATGACGTTGGATGTAATTGTGTTATATCAAATTCAAATGATAAAACACATATGTGTCAATCATTCAGTGAAGAGGTATAGGCTATGTGGTAGTGAGATATTAGCTACACGAGGTATCATCCAACTAATGATAAAATATCAAACACATGATTACGAGGTATTGATCACATGATGATTATATATAAATTATATAATAAAATATATTATTCATATGATAATAAGGTATTCATAATCTTTAATCTTTACGTTCGAACCCATATCCCTCTAAAAAAACTTAAGAAGCTTTGATTATACAATTAAGGAGGTGTTCATGGACCCTTTAGATCCTTAACTAACCTTGCTCTTTTTTTAGTTTATCAACCCCTCACCATTACCTAATATAATTCAACTCTTGCTACATGAAACTATATATATATATATATATATATATATATATATATAGTGGGT